CAGCACGTCGGTCAAGTGGGTGATCGACCCAGCAAGTCGATCTAACTGGGGATCGACTCAGCAAGTCGATTAAGTGGGTGATCGACCCAGCAAGTCGATCAAGTGGGGGATCCACCCAGCAAGTCGATCAAGTGAGTGTTCGACCCAGCAAGTCGATCAAGTGCGTGATCGACTAAGCAAGTCGATCGAGTGGGGGATCGGCCCAGCAAGTCTATCAAGTGGGTGATTTGACCCAGCAAGTCGATCAAGTGGGTGATCGACCCAACAAGTCGATCAAGCGGGGATCGCCCCAGCAAGTCGATCAAACGAGGCATCGATCCAGCAATTCGATCAAGCGGGGGATCGACCCAGCAAGTCGATCATGCGGGGGATCGACCCAGCTACTCGATAAAGTAGGGGATTAAATGAGGAAATGACCCAGCCGGTCGATTAACTGACGGATCCGTCCATCAAGTCGATCTGACTGTCCTGAATATTATAACTATTTTGATTATTGTGACTATTTTTACTATTTTGTTAGTCAGTCCGTTTGTCAGTTCGTCCGTCAGGTCGACCGTTTGTCCGACAGGCTGACTGTCCGTCAGGCCGACCGTCCGTCCGTCAGGCCGACTGTCTGACCGTCATGCGACCGTCCGTCAGTCAGTCCATCCGTCCGTCAGTGAGTCCGTCCATCAGTCAGTCCGTACGTCCATCAGTTAGTCCTACGTCAGGCTGTCAGCCCGTCTGTCAGACAATCTGTCTGTCCCTTAGTCTGTCAGTCCGTCCCTCCGCCAGTCCGTCTGTCCGTCCGTCCATCCGTCAGTCACTCCGTCCGTCAGTCTTTCCCTGTGTGTGTGCACGAATTCTTTTTCATCTTTAGATAGAATTATGAACTTTCTTTTATTTCGATTCTCATTCACTTTACCCTATGGTAACTATATCATGTAGTCACTAGATTATTTATAGCTACCCAACAGTTCTCACTGTTGTTCGTCTTTTTGAAGATAACATGCTGGGAAAATGTTCGGCACATTCCTAAATGACCGAAATGTGTTTGCGTGATATTTATGAACTTTCATACAAATATAAATTTGATCCTAACAGATAAGATAATTTACAAAGTCTGTTTATTAATTTTATCAAAATCACAAAGGATATTATTTAAACATTTCAAATACAAATACCAAACTGGTGGCATTCACGGAAAAACACTATACGCACTTCTTGAAAAGTATGACATATGGCCAGTTGGTCATTTTAAATATTTTAAAAAGAATATAACTATTTTAACAGAGGTAGATCTAGATGAAAAAAATCCAAAAGTTCCAGAAAATATACTGTTTACTCGACCGCAAGGGGAAGGGGTAATCACGCTGGAACCAGGATTTTTGCGTCATCGGTATATTGCAGAGTTCCATGGTTCCTTCTTACAATCTTGATATTTCTCTTTGTACGATTTGATCTCGTAAAGTAAAGGATGAAATTACGTTACATATTTCGTAAATAATTATTACAGTTTTTATTTTCGATCTATTACTGGCAAATAACACACACACACATTGAGATTTTCGTAGAGAAACCAAATATTCCTATATTTTTAGTTCAGTTATAATTGAATAGTTATATAATGACACGGTCTGTACACGGAGCAAACGGTTGGGAAGTGCAGGTGTTATTTTGTTGCCATCACAGCCCAGAGAACTGTCTTTCTGATACCACCGTATGACCTTGACCAACGCGGCTTGGCCGAGGAGAGACGAGTGTCAACGCGGGGCCGGTAGATGCGCTAGTTCAAGCGACACCCGCGCATCCTCCCACGCAGAGAGAGGAAATTCCCCTAGGGCCTAGGCCTTGAGAGAGAAGCGAACTGAAGCACCTCTCCTTCACTGTGCGGTTGCCACGACTGAAACTCATAACTGGGGCAGGCTTGCAGATGCAATCATTCCATGCGTATCTTGTGTCTCTCAGCCAAATACATTAAATTTGCAGAAATTCCGTTTTATAAAGGTCTTCCCCTCTGTACATGAAAAACCGTTCCGTTTCCGTATTGGGCAGATTCCTTTTTATGCTGGGTAAAATGCCATTTAAAATGCCTCACAAATTTTCCGGCTTCCGGCTTATACAGCGACCAGTTTTTACAGATTATACTGTATATAAAAGTTTAGGAGTTCATACAATTGTATACAGTAGTAAAAGACGCTATTATAACTTAGCAAAAAAATAGGGGTATTTTTCGATAAAATAAGACTTAAGTCACGAGTAGTTTTAATGTAACGCGGAAGTTTGTTAATTGGTGTGGCTGCATTGATTTCATTGCTGCCGATTTACTGGTCAGCACTCAATTGTTATGACTGCAAGTAGAATAGTTACGTATTTCATTGTTTAGTGTGATACACACTGTTAATATTTTGATATTAACTGGAAGTGAGTACTTCGAAAGAGTACAGGGCAACGACAGTTAGGGTTGTTTTACGAAGAACTTGCATATCTAGTGAGTCTGTAAATTGAAGATGCATCTTGGACTTAACTTTTGGACAATCAATAATCTATTTATATTTATCTGTGAGGTAGTGGCCCATATTTCTATAACGTATTGATGATGTGAGTGAATAGTTTCATAGTGTACATGTTTGATGATAAATATTTAATAATAAAATTTATTAATGGCGAGGCTCAGGCCATAGGGCCTGCTCTTTCTCCTAACCACTGAACACATATAGTAGTTACATTTTAAGAGGGGAGGACAAGCTGTACATTTAGGTTTGGGAGTACAAATCTGGGGACCATCCCAGCATACGCCTTAAGCGATTGAATAAACCCAGAAAACCTCAATCAGGATGGCGGCTTAGGGCTGAACATCAATTTACGGAGAAAAGTGGAAGAGAAGGAAAAATAAGAAAAAGGAAACATATATGAAAATGAAGAGGAAAAACAGGAAGAAAAAGAAGAGAGACCAAGAGGGGGGACAAGCTGTACATTATTTAGAGAAATACTTCACTATTTAATTTGTTGCATTAGTTTTGTCTGTTAAATAATAGGTACTCATTGACGTATATACCCAAAAAAATTGTGATGCTGAACAAACTACTTAATGATTTGTTTTGATTTATTTTAAGCTTGTTCAAAATAAGTAATGTCAGATACTGATCTCTGTGGAACACCTACACGCAATGCTGTAATTTGATTGTACTTTAATAATACTGTTTGCTTTATCCCATAAAATTTCTATACATTGTTTACAGCCTGCTAGGTAGGATTTGATATGGTAATTTACTTGTATTACAATGGTTTCTAGTTTCTTTAGTTTATGGGACACACTATCAAAGGCTTTTGATGAGTCTACAAAGAGAGCTGCAGTCTTTTTATTTTGTTCAAGATTATTTCAAACTGTATAGCACAAGTTGGCAACTGCTATTGAGGTGAATAGTACTTCTAAAACCGTTTGTTAAGTATTTACAAGTATTTTGTTCATCTCTAGAAAACCATTCATTCTGGCTACAATTACTTTTTGTAGTACATTCTCTTCAAGTATACAATTCTTCAGCAAATTACCAATATATCTGAGAAACACGACAGGCTTTTACAACTTCAAGAAAAAACAAAAACACTTCCTTGGGGAAAAACTTTTTTATGGCGTTCAGGAATACCTCAATGACTAACACATGCAATGTGATTTCAGATGCTGCAGTAGGTACGTGTAGAAATAGAAAAAAAAAACTGGCCACAACCTGCCTCCTCACCATTTCAAGATTTTATTAACGAATATGGTAATACTGTTAAATCATATGTTGATGTTACCATAATTATTATCATGTACTGTTAGTATTACTATTAGTAGTATCATCACTATTATTATTTTATAAGTCATGTTGTCTATTATATTTATATTATTATTACAAATAGTAGCAGTAAAATCACTATACCAACTAAATGTTATTTTGAAAAATTTAACACTACAAATCTTGAAATGTTAAAGCATTAAATTCAAGTAAGTTAAATGTTCAACTATATTGCTACTAAAAATAATTATCTACAATGTAATATCTTAAAATATCTGTAACAAGTATTGTAGTATAATCTCTAGGCCAATGACCCCATCATGATCAGGTTTTTTGTCCAGTTTCCCTGGTCCTTTGAGCAAATGCCCTTGTTTTGCTTCTGGACAATAAATGTAAACACTCACTGCACTCTACTCCATATGTGTGTGTGTAATTAAAATGACATTCATGGGAATAATGCTGTCAATATCCTCTAACCTTTTATTGTACTCAATAACAAAATTGTTTTCATAAAATTAATTTTGGATTTAGGGCTCATTGTTTTAATAGCTATCTTGCCTCTGTTTCCATCTTTATAACATGGTCAACTCCAAACCACTAGCGTATTGAACTGTGAAAAATAACAGTGAATTGAAACACTTTCTATTGCATAGCAGATCATTTAAATTTATTTCATTAGTATAAAATAATAAGGTACAAACGTTTTTAAAATGTCAATATTCAACATCAGATATATACAATTTTGAATAAAGGATTACAGAAGTAATTATCTACAAGTACTATTAAAACACATTTATAAGCAAACTATATTTACAATCACTCATTGTATCGGTTAGTTCCAATACTAATATGCATACAATATGCTTTTAAATGCAACTCAAATTATAGGTCCTACATTGAAGACTATTCAGGTCATTATGCTTGTAACATGCATATAATTATGCTGAAACAAACACAATACTCACTAAAAACCAAAAAGAAAATATTTTAAGCCATTTGAAAAATAGATTAAACTTCAAGAATATGAAAAGAGAATTCAATTAAAACGTATTTAAAAAAACCCACACAATACGAACACCAAAATATACTTAATTATAATTTCCTCTACATAGTCTTTCATGAAGTTCATCAAAATCAATTTTTCTTTAAAGAAATGCAGAAAACAAATCTTGATCTCATTTTATGATATATTATTGTCAAACGACCCACATCTGAAGTACAGTAGCAAAGAGTGAGAAGCTGAAGCTCCATTTAATTCTTTACACATGTTGAAGAGACATACAAATAGATGTCAAATTAGCATCTCGGCTCTATGATACTGAAAACCTACAATAAATTGCACTAATAATAAAATTTCACAAACAACTACCAATTATCAGGGTGATTCAGGTATTTCGGGAAGTTCTTCATCTGATGACGACCACACCACCTTCCGTCGAACTCTCCTTTTTCCACTCTTTATTGTTGAAGATGGAGTAGCTCTACCTCTTGAAGAGGCACGAGGATTTCTAGGCGTTGCCCTTGCCTTGGTACTGGATGGAGGCAATGGCACTTCTTGATCTGGATTCTCAGTACGCACTTTAAGGACTTGTTCAATTGCAGCATTCAATTCCTCAGCAGCAGACTTAATTTCTGGTTTCGAGGTTGATTTTGTATGTGATTGCACAATGTTCTGGAAATAGTTGTACACTTTATCAATATGCAACTTATCAGCATATAATTGCAACTGGTCAGTCAGTCGTCCCAAAGCCCGTTGGTTGTAATGAAGTAGAGTCAAACAAAAGGCTAAATCACATGCTTGTCTGTCTGTTGAAATCAGTTGGAATCTCTGACATAATTTTTCTACAAGAACTTCAATTTGTTTCTCCCTTTTTATTAGGCCAAACACAAATTTAGTAATTTCATTGAATCTCTCTTCTGGAAGTTCTGATGAACAGAGTCCAGATATAATGTCAGGAAGAACATTATACAGCACATTATGCTTCTTTGAGAGTTCATTAAAGAAACTTTTAGCAGCATTCGCAATTGTACTATTTTTATCACAAATGCACAATGCTAAATCAGAGATTTGCCCTCGCACCTTTATCATGTCACACATTACCAAGCGTGAGAGAATGAGTATTGTAGTGAGTCGTACTTCCTCTGAGCTATCTTGCAGGCGCTTGTAGATATGTTTAGACCAAGGCTCCACTATATTTGGGAAACGCAATGTTATATCTGCAATGGCAATAATAGCCATAGATCTTGTATCTGGATCTGTGCTATTACTCATCACTGACACAAACAACTGAATATTATCAGCACATACTGTTGAGGAAACCATCATCATTTTAGACAAGGCCAGCAAGGCAGTACGTTGCACATTGGGTTCTGCATATTTTTTGGGTTTGGAAACAACATTTACTACTAAAGGAAGTAACTGCCCCAGCAGTCTGTCAGGTCTAAACATTTCATTTTCACAAAATTGTCGAATGCTTTCAGATACTATATCTTCTGCCTGTGTGCTCTCTTCACCTTCTTCTAATCCATTTGTTGAGGCACTTGTGCTATCAGAGGAACCTACAAAAGATGGATTTTCTGCTTCTATCATTGAAACATTGCTCATTGACTTACTGGCAGTTGATCTTCTTTTAGCTCCTTTTTTGGCCTGTGTTCGTTTTTGGTTTTTTTGAATCTTGTCAGTTTCTTCCACAGATCTTATTTTAGAATACACTGCAGTATCCATGAACACCATTTGCATCATTGCAACATGGCCAATAACAGCTAGGAATCGCCCTAAAGCAAAACATGGAATCACTGGCATCTGAGTTGGACATTCATCCTCATTGTTATCCATTCCTTGAGAGATACAACTCAAAGCATTTTGTTTCTTTTCTTGCAGGGAACAGAGTATGGATTTCAATACGCCTTCCACAAATGGTTCAGGACTCAGGCAAAACACATAAACTAAATTCACAGCATTAATGGCAAGAGGAACAAAATAATCACTCTCTTTGATCCAGATTGCAGATTTTAACATATTGCCAAGTTCTTTGAATAAGATATGATCAAGTGGGAGCCTAATTGAGCTTACAGGTGCTGTATGATTGTGTTGGATGATAGGACATGTGCTAGATAATACTGCACAAGCTTCTGAAGCTATTTCAAGATTCAGAGTTCTGACATCATTTGCTGAAAATATATGAGTGGCTATTTCTGGAACAAGAGCACGTACACGTTCTGGAAGGACAGGAGCAACCATCCGTAGCAAAGCTAAGGCAAGCAAACGCCTGCTGAGAACATCCTTTGGCTCAGAAGCTCGTTCTGGATGTAGAAATATTTCCCACATTGCCTGCAGAAAAGAGAAATTTTAACTTCAAAACAGTTACAAATGATATATAAAAATGCAATTTAAAAAAGTGACTAAAAGAAATATTTTTTTCACATTGGGAACTTTACTGGGCACATGATTATTTGTGATAATCTCCAACAATGGCATTAACGTAACTGTTGCTTGCTTCCAAGCAGGAATAGTCGTGAAACAGGACAATAGTGCACATGATCATGCCAAAAGATCATAGTTAATTTACAAATTTGTAAGTTAAGAATGATTCTGTGAATTATAATAATTATATAGCACATCAAGGTATTCCATGAGAAACAAATTCACAATGAGATGTTTACAATTAAGAGAAGGATCACCAGGCCATATAAAAAATTAATGAACTACATTTTTTTGATGGTAGTCAGAAAATGACATTTTTTGTTATCAAAAGACATTATTCTAATTAACTGGCATTGATGTACAATCCTACTTAAAGATGCAAGACTTCAATTCAATTGCAGCTGCTCAACACAAATTCGCTAAGAGTAGTGCTAAACGAATGAAAAAAAGAAACTGAAAGAAATATGCCCAGATTTCTACTCTATGGATGCAATGATAAATAGAGTATAGACCGAGGCAGGGTACAAGCAAAGTCATGTGATTATGTGCCTGACAATGTACAGGTTCCACCACTGGATATGTCAGACATGGAGTTTAACACAAATCAAATGACAAATTATATCCAGTGAATGTGAAAGAGTGTTAGCGTGATCACATAATAAATTGCACCAAATGGACCAAATCTATAACCATGCATGTCGTTGAAAACTAATTGAAATAATATGTGCGAATTGATGTATAAAATCACATAGATCTTCTGGAGTGCATAACAGTTGTGTATAATTAATATTAAACATTTTTTATACACATGTCATTAATTTATTAAGTTGTTTTGAATATGGTCCTTTTGTTTAATTATGATTTGTTTTGTGTATGGTCAGAAATTAAACTTCCCTGCATATTTTTTGGTAACAATTATTTAAAGAATTATTTTAAAACGTTGGTAAAAAGAATGAATATAAAAAATAAAAAGACAGTTTCGGAGGACTACTCCCCCCCCCCCCCATTCTTCAGTTCACCTGCAAATTAACAATTAAAACAAATCAGCATATGATATTGGTACAGGGTACATAAGAAAATTTCCAAATACTATTCTGGAGCACACATACTGTAATTGAAAAAATATTGTTAATGATGGAGGGTTAAATTTCGATGTGTTTTAGTACACTGCTTGACAAATTGATAGTTCTTAGACCCCTCTGTATCACATGTCCTTCATTCATGAAGGACTAGCAACCCGGAGATATCCTATTAACTCTTTGAAAGTTAAAAAATATTAAAAGTGTAAAGAAAATACTATTACTGTCAAATGTACCAAAAACATTGCATAAATAAAATCTTATAAAACTAAGTACAAGTTAGACAAGGCTCAAGTACAAGTTGCCCATATTTTTTGAGAGGAAAAAAACAGAAAGAAAAGAAAAGGTGAATAACATCTGTGTATTAATCGATGCCCATGCCCCCAAATTTGGTTTGGCATCAACTGTGTCTCCAAAAAAAAGGTATCATAACGGAACAATTATGGTCTACATTATTAAATAGTTTTTATTAAGGCTGGTATGATATAAATTAAATGTTTTTAAAAATCAATGAATTAAATCAATATTTATTATTTGTAATACTTGTAAACATAATTGTATTTTAAATATTTGTAAAATAAAAATTACTCTGATAAAAATACTTAAATTAATTACAAAGTTTATGTTAAGTCTATATGAAATTTCTTATAAACATTTTGACTTAATTGAACTATTTTGAGAAAATAAAATACAATATAATATACAATTAACAAATTTGTGGAACACCAAGAACAAAAAACAATTTATGGTATAGCTATATACCAACACCATATTATAGTTATATACCATATGATAGATTAGTTTTTATCTAGCATTTAATTGACTGAAGATAAAAACTAATTAAGCAGCAATACCACCCTAACACACTGAGCTAGTTTCGAGAAAAATGGGTTTAAAGCTTGAACGGTGTCTACAATTCTAGATTTGTATTATAAGGTTTGCTTCAGCCACTAGTAGATCTTAAAGATGATGAGTATTAATAAAAATGGAAATTTTTATTAAGTCATTAAAGAACAAAATTAATATTGTTAAAACTAATGAAAACAGTAATCTTACTCGTTTTAATAATATTAACCTTTTTCTTGATGTGTATATTGATAAAATTCTATTTTAAGTGGGAAGCACTTTTCCCACTGACTTAACAGGTTAAGGGGAAGGTGCATAAGTAACAAACATTATATCCTGTATTCTTTATAATAGGACAACTATTAAGTAGAATTTAATATTTCCAAAACTGTATACCATTGTTGTGAGTTTTTCGATGAATTCAGTTATTTTCAACAAAAGTGCTTTTTGATTAGGGTTGAAATGCAGAAAAAAATGGTAATATTGTTTGAATGAAGAATGCCTTTTTTCTAAACCATGCTAATCAATGGTGCCACAAGATCATTCATTGCTTTCCTCATTTCCCATCCATCAATGTCTGCCCGATTGAAGAATGTTTCATATTGTTGATCAAATTCTTGTTCAGAATCTGTGGAATGCTTCGACATGTATTACTGAGAAGCTGTTAAAGGCCATGCAGCCGACTGTCTACTAATTTCTTAAACAACGGTATTGATTAGACAAACTGCCGAGCAAAACATTTAATATCGATGCTTAGAACATCCATCCAAATATTATATTCCGACCTTAATTCTGCAGCAACGTCTCAACTTCTCAGATTATTGCCTCGTGCAACTGAATCCGATCTTCTTGCAACACAATCCAGTTCTACCAATTTTTCGGTAATGTGGACGCAAAAGAAGCGTTTCAAGAACCCGAAACTATAAGTAAATCAAATTTCAAAATTTTGTGGGTTAGGGCAGTATTGCATGGGACCTCTCAAATACATAGGATCTTTACTTTTTAAAAATAAAATTACAACAATTTAATGTTAAATTTAAAAACTGATGTTTTAATAAACTTTTAACGTACCTGCTTTTGAAGCAATTTAAGATAAATAAACCACTTGATTTTGGTTTAAAGTAAACAACTAAAATACCTTATTCAATCAAAATCTAAAGTAACCAAAAAACTTCTAACACAAATTAAAAAATCTTCTTTAAAGAAAATGAGTTTTTTTTATTTTAAATTTTTTCCCCCCAGTTCTAGTTTTTATAAATACATTTGTATTACGCTTAATATAAATTATAATATTTATAAATTAAATTCATAATCTTACCTGAACACAACTACCAGTAATATCTCCATTTTTCACCCATTCCTTCATCAGTTCTTCCACAGCCTGCGCCTCACCCATTGTTAATTCTGCAAGGAGTTTCATAAGGCTTGCTACTATTCGCTCCGCCCGTGACATCCCATCAGAACGAGTATTCTGAAAGTAAACTGTCTTGGCTGTTGCTGCAATAGCAGATATAACAGGAGCTTCTGGTTGATGTAACATTAATTGCAATACTGTAGTCATACAGTTTTTGGCCCTAGGGACCCCACCAACATGAGCGACTTCCACCAGACGTACTGCATCTGCAATTCCTTCATTGATTCCTGAACCGATATGAGATATAGACCAAGACAACAGTTTTTGGAGCAACATCAAAGCATTTTCCATTTGATTGACAAAATTCAAAGAGTCCTCCAGATACGCAACAAAATGCTGCTTTGCTGTCAAATTTTGTAGTTCTTCTTTTTCAATTGGGGTATCTTGTATATCCTTGGCAAGAGCTTGAACTGATAATTTCTCATATGAATAAAAGGAACCCAATAACAACAAATAGAAATTAACTTTCCCTTTAATACCAGATTCTTTCTTTTTAACAATACATTCAGGAGCCAAATGTTCTATACGAGTCACACACTTGTAGGCTTTAATAAATTTCTTTTTCTCAAGAGCTTCACACATGGCACCATGAACAGAAGTTAGAAGGTCATCTGGATTTTCATCTTCCTCCTCTTTTTCATCTTCATTATCATCATTCCCATTTTCATCCCCTCCTTGTTCTCCTCCAATTGAATCAAGGGGATCATCACTTTCCTCCTTTTCAAAGTGTTCTCGCAACACAGTTTCCACATTAGCTTGCATCTCCAGCCAGAACATCTCACGTGGATTACCTTCTCTGTACTTGTCGCACATTGCCATGAGCTCATTACGCTCCTTCTCTAGCTGCTCTTGCAGAATTTCAGTGCCCAACTTTGCAGATGCAGGATTCAACTCTAAAAATACTGTCACTAATTGAATAGCTGCTTTGCGAACCGAGGATGCTGTATCCACAATCCGCCCAGACGTTGCCTCCAGTACATTACAACGTAAAGTCTGTGGCACTGCTCCTTCTTCAAGGAGTCTTCGCCACAAACTAATGACTTTAGCTCGTACAAAAGCATTTGGGTCGTAAATGTAGTCCAGCATGTAGTCAAGTAATTCATCACGCTGACGACGATCAACAACAGTCATATCATCATGACTGAGACATTTAAGAACCACTGCACACATAGCAGACAATATGCCATTGCGTAATGGTACCTGCTCATTTTCCAACAATGGCAAGATCATAGGCAAATGTTCCTTGAGAGATTTAGGCACAAGTTCTGCTAGTTCTGCAAAAAACACACCATGATTGCGTGAAGCTTGTGGCATCACTTCTGAAGAATAAGATTCAATTATTTCCTTCATTATTTCCCGCACAATACTATGACAGTTATAGTCATCATGGAGAATCTTCACACCTAAAGCCAAAGATGGGGCAATATGTTCTACACGATTTAGTACATCAACCATTCTCAAAACAATACTAATTTTGTAGTTATAGCGTATCACCATTATACCTAGTATATGAAGTAAGGTTTCTTTCACATGTGACATTCTACTTGTAACACTTGCGGGATTCTCTAATACTGCAAATGCCATGTTGCTAATTAGATGATAAAAGCTCTCTTCTGTTGATGGTACAGGAGGATCCCACAGCCAGATCAATGGCAGATGTAATAAATCATGTGTAAGCATAACTGCTTCCTCTAAATTATCTTGCCACTCCAACTGTTCTGGAAAAGAATTCTGTGACCCTTTTTTCTTAACTCTGCCATCACCGATACGTTTAATACGCTCTTCAAAGCCAGCCATTGTCTGTGTCAAAAGATACACAAGCATTTTAGTAGAGTTTGCTGCTGGCTTACGAACAGCCTCTTCTAATTCACGATTAGGATGTAAAATTTCTTTCAGCTCGTCAACCATTGCTTTCATTCCTCTTTTTATGATGGACCATCCTTTCATTGAGTTTTCCCATGAAAGTCTTTGAAAATGAATATTAAGCGAAACTAAGGTATCAAAATTATCTAATATAAATTTATATCCATTATTTCGCAGAGCATTACTGCAGCCAGAAAATTTCTGAATCAACTCATCTTGTCCCACAATGTTTTGTGGCACGTACCGGTCAGAATGACAGGAAAGCAAATCGTCGCGAGAAATAGGTATCACGAAGTCCAGCATTATATAAAGTAAAATACAGCAGTTTAGAATTACAATACGCGCACATTCACACACACTTCGGCTAGTAATACAACACCGTCAACAAGCCATACTTTAAATTCTATTCTGTCAACGCCGCGTCTATGCGTCTTCGCGGCCTTCTTATTCGAACGAATAAACAATGCTCAATAACGCGGGAAAACAACCATGTAGCCAACATTGCCGGACAGTTTGAAAGACGAATATTGCGTGAACCACAGAAACGGAATAATACAAGTCTTAAAAGTTATTTCTTATATATTTATATAATAGCTCTGGCGTTTTTTGAGAAAAACATTTCTTCATTCACTTTCTACCAACTGAAAATAATTAGAAATGGCACTGGCTAGACGCACAGATAATTACTCTGTGCACTCACTCACGGAGAATAGGTAGAACACGAGGCCCTTAAAATAACGGCGCAAGTTCCATTTCCATTGAAATATCTGAATTTTCTTAAATTGAAAAAGTTTGAATTAATTCTAGAAAATATGTAATGTTAAGCACACTAATTACTTTCTCGCGTAAGTACGCATATACAGAGAAGAACACGTAGATATTATATAGAGAAAGTTGTTCATAACACTGCTGCGAAAAGTGCTGTTGTGAGATGGGGCCATAGACTTACAGTATTATGTCATCAAGGACTTCACTTGAAGACCTTGGGGACATTTTCAAAATATTCTAAAAAATGGCTCCAATTGTTTTAAATTTTATTTTATTTTTGTTAAATTTCTTGCAGGAGTGGAGTGTAATACACATACAATGATGACATAAGTCCGTTTTTCAAGGTTGCTCCTTAATATTAGAAAATTGCCAAAGTTTGAATTTTTTTAAAACGTTTCCATATGTACGCGTTTGTACATATACGCAGAGCCGGATTCAAGGCGGAGCTGCAGGGGCTGTAGCCCAGAGGCCCCAACACATTTGGGGTCACCACAAAAATTACACACACACACAAACTGAAAAATATATACAAGAGAAAATTTTGTTATGACTTACGACAATGTCATTTTCTGAACTCAAGTTGGTGAAAAATCGAATGCGCAAATATGGATGAAAATCTCCTTTTAACGATATAATAAAAAAATTGATCTCCCTCTCTCTCCCCCTCTCCTCCTCTAATGCTAAACTTTAAGCAATTCAATTTTCATTAAATGTTTTATGGATGTCCGGCACCAAAATTCTTATATGATTGAGTAATGCTCACGTGGGTTGACTTCCTATCCCTATTCCATACCATATTTTTACAATTAAAATTTGGTATTTTGATATTTTTTTTTTTTTTTTTAAGGTAGGTGTGTAATTTTTTCATTTGTTTGTGATTATATAATAAAAAAATAGCTAGATTGCAAACCTATGTGGTTTTATTTTAATTAAATTCACTGTAACAATACTTTTTTGATCACTTGCAATTTTTATATTGAAATTTGTATGTTTATGAATGATAAATTTGAAACTTTTGTTGTATGCATTTCTTAAGTTAGTACATGCTATTCTAGAATCACTAGTTTGAATTTTATTGATTTTTCCTGACAATATAAATATGTTAGGGGTTGTCTTTTCATATATATATATATATCATTTATTTATTGTTCTTAGCCCAGTAGCAAACATCTTCTCAATAAAAAGGTTAAATTCTTTTACAGCCTTCTTGTAAGAAATGTTATATTTATTCAATATTAATATTTTTTGAAAGAATCAAGCAAGACCCAGAACCAAAACTATCAGAATGTTAAATTTTGAGTTCTCAAAGGAGAACTTTATGACTGGTCTGTAAGACAAATTTGTTTTACACATCAATGCCGTTTACTATACCTATTTTAGCATGGCATTAACTAGCTTAAAATTCCACATTGCGTGGATGTTTATTTATTATCATTGTTTATTATATAGGAGATCCACATGGCATTGTCCAAGATTTGCATAAAGATGCATCATGCAAATCCCAACGCATTTTTGTTAAGTGTTTATGTGAAAAAATATGAAATCTAATCAAATTTATTACTTTTATTGAGATACACTGTTGCTCTAGTCTTTCTTTTTCACAATCTATTAGACTATTTTATTATTATTCCTATCTATTCACTCCTTGGTCTCGCACTTATATCTACTTTACTCTCTTGGCCTTGCTTTATATTGTCCTGCATTGTAGGAAAAATACCTGAAGATCAACATTAAAAGTATTTTATAATGAAATTCCAATTAAAATTATAATTTTAATAATTCGTTTTGTTTCATTAGGTATGTCTATTTCATAGAGTATGTCTCTGTATGACCAGTTTTATTTGATCATACTGTGAGGACATACCCTCAAAACACATTTTCAACATTCTTTGCATGATTTCTTGCAAAATTTCAGCATGTAGGAAGGATTAATTTGACACTGTCCATCTCTTGCCCAGGCTTCACAGTATTTATTCTGATTAATGCAGTCTGAAGTTTCAGTAGAGCCTAGAACACACAAAAATATCTTCTGAGAAAAAGAATTTCATATTTTTTATAACTAGAGAAATGAATTAATGTAAATAAGATGGTAACTTCAAGCACCTACAATTGAGTTAAAAGCTAATGTAGTTATGGTGTCAATTAATCAATAAAATTAATTATTTTAAGATAAAAATTTGGAAAGTGAGATTGGGTGTGTGATTTTTCCCTTTTTTTTCTTTTGCCCTTAAAGAATCTAAGAACATCTAAACATTTGATGATGATGGAAATATTGGACCGACATAATATTTGGACATATCCAACTGTGTAGGATCAGAAAATTGAAATTTTCCTGAATTTTAACAATTATTTTCAATAAAAAATAGATTTCAATAACTAAATAATATCATACTTAAATGCTCTTAGGATTAATTATTAAATGTAATGTTACTTGAAATTATTCATACTTTATTAGTATTTTATAATAAAATTGGTATAATTTAATGTGTGTGTCTTCCCACATATATTCACCGCTCATGAAACTACAAAATATTGTAAGACACATAATTTATAAAATTGAGATTTTGTTATCAATTGATTCATTGTCAAAGAATATACCTTCTTACAAAATGTCATATCCCAAAAATAGTATTTTCCTGTTTAATTTCATAAAAACAAAATGTATCAATAATTTATAATATTCAGGCAAAATGTTGTTTGCCACATAATTTTAAATCTATTAAAAAAATATCTATTTTTATTCATTGTAACGAAGTATGAAACTAGTGACATAAAATAAGTTTAAATCAAAAGTCTAACTTGAAACTCCACATGTTTATCTAGTTTTTTTAGTTCTTGTTGGTTATGACATTTTGCATTGCTTGAGTTTTCTTCTTATCTCGACATTACTTTGTCAATCAACCATGTTATCACAGAGATATAACAGAGGAATGTCATTTGTATTGCTTCCAGTCTTGGATTAAATATATAAAAAAAATTATTGGAATGAAATTGTAATTATTTATACAAAACAAACACAAACAACTTCTTTGTGCAATATAAAATAATTGTTTTAAGAACGTTGTTTAAAAAAACTGACAAAATTCACTACTTTTCAGTGAAAATGCCATAAAAAATGGTTTTATCATTCCCAAGATAGCCCGGACAAGCAGACGAACAAAAATTTTAAAAACAATAGAATTTGTGACCAAATAGGAAAAGGATATGAACAAAACTTGCCTATGAGCTGTTCTTATAATGTTCCTTTTATTATAGACAATCATATTTATAAGTAGTTCAGCATAATAAGGCAATCAATAATCTGAACTGTGGAAAATCCTCCCTCAAGAAAACATTAATGAACTCCAAAAAGAGGCGTTCAATAATATGTATAAGAAATCAGAAGTCAAAATCCAAAAAATCACAACAGCAATTCCCTCAAATATTGGTCTCCGAAATAGATGCACTTAATTTTCACTCTTGTTCAATGTCTGTCTAATGGCGTGGTCTACAAATTGCAAGAGGCAAACAAAGAAATAAAAGCCATTCTCTACACAGACAATCAAGTAATTTTAGCAATATCTGAAGATAACTAACAAAGAGTCTCCTTAAAACCGAATACAATTAAAAATATAAAGAAAAAAACAGATGATAATCTTCTCTTACTTAGGAAATAATGGGAAGAAAAATTACTAATTTATAAACAAATTATTGAATTTTGTTTCAAAAAGTTTTTTCTTTATCTCTTGTATTGCTGCTTTTTAAAGTTTAAAAACACAAAAGATTTATTCCAGTTTCTGTTCTGTTTAAGAATGAAACTTAATAACTATTTTAAAAGTTTAGTCTTTTACCACTTACTTGTTTTACAAGACCGACATGCTTCTGCACAATAAATAGTCATATACGATGGATTTTTGATACATTCACCTCGCTCAGCCCAAGGAACACAAAGTTTATTGTAGTTAGAACAAGTTCCTGAAAAAATATATTAAATTAAATGCTTTATCTTATTCTACATGCTTAAAAAATTCAATAGTAATATTATGCATTAGAATTTGAAATTGAATATAAATTAATGTTTTGGTGCAGAATTATAAATCGAACAAGTCTTAATAACCTTTTTTCTCATTTGTGGATAATATACTACAACAGTAAAGGCACTACTGGAAGGACAAATTACTCCTACATCAATGATGTTTAACATTTTGTGAAAATTTGGCAATTACGATTTACCTTATTCTTACAACATGAAAAGTAATGTAGTTCAACAATTACTTCATCCTGAGTCCTGTTTGCTATCCAAATTAGTTTTATTTTTCTCGGAATATGGAACATGAATGAGGGGGCAAGACTCAACATTGCTAACCCAAGCATTGTTAACACACCAATAATTTCATAATTGTAATAACTACAACTCTAATAGAAATTTAATCTACTGAGACTGAGCAGTAGTTCTCACTATTTTCTTTAAAGGATACTACACTGACTGTAGTTTCAAGAAGATTTTTTCATCTCATGTATTACTGTTTTGAAATTTGAACCAAAAAAAGTTTTAGCTATTTAATTTTTTTTTAAAGAAGAATAGTTCTTCTTATCAACACAACAATAATACTCTCTCTATATATAAAACATCAAGGATAAATGACGTTTTTTGACATTTTATATGAAAGCTTTTATACAGAACCCTATAAGTGTGCTACTGTAGGGTAGGGAATTACTCCCAGTCCTGCATTAAAAAAGATTTAGGACAATAACTAGACGCTTGCAGTTTATGATGAGCAAAACAGGTTTCTGCAACACACATTATTATTATTATTATACATAACTCACAAATAATGTGTCTTAGGACCTTAAAACCTGGTTTTCATTATTCCAAAAGGGAATGAATATTGTTGGGTCAGGAGATTTCTGTGGGGTCATGAGTTTTGGGGGACTGGTAGGGACGTATGAGGAAAAGATGAGAGACAGACAGGGGTATGTGGGAAAATGAAGGAAGATAAGGAGACCGTGGGGCCTGAATTATGTTTCTTAAGAAGTATTCAATGAAAAGAGAAAAGAGAAGGTAACATGGTCAGAAAATTGCATAAACCCAAAATTTAGTATAATTAAATTGAAGGGGAAAAAAAACAAAAGTTTTTACAATAAAATTAAAGGAACTATTTGATTTTATGTTCAATTCAATCTCAATGATTACAGCATATGCACAGTGTAAGCACTGCTCTTCGGAAGATGGGTGTTCCTATGAAGTAATTTTCAATTTTAACACATTTATATACAAATTGTAAAGTTTTTACATAGGTTCAGCTACTTTAATAATTATTATCATAGTAAAAAAGATCTTCATAAATAAAATTTATGGAGAAAAAGTTCTTACCACATTCTTTACAAGATACCGGACAATTTACTCGCATCCATGTTGGATTCTTCTGACATTCTCCAATATTAGCCCAGTAGCGGCATAAATGACTGTTGTCTGAGCATATGTCTGTAATAGAAGAAAGTCTTTTATTGCAATGGTTTATATTTGTAAGTACCATACTTTAAAATTAAATAAAAGTACTAATGTCTCTGGAGAAAATGATTTCAATCTCAGTTCTACTGAATTTCATACAATGAAGTTGAAGAAATTAAAGCTAGCTTGAATAACCAGTCGCTTAATGAAATGAGATGAGAGAAGAAATATCACCCAATGTATTTTTAAATTTAATGAATGCTTTCAAAAATGTTCACATTAAATTTTCCATATAGAAATGCAACAATAACAACAAATTAAAGTATATCAGTATTATTCTGGTACTTACGTGGCTTAGAAGGAGGTCTGACTGGAGTTGGAGAAGGCAGGCTAGGATCCCGGCCTTGACACTCATATAACTTATTCAGTTTCAATAAGTCTGGCTGGAAGAGAAATACTTTGTTAGACATTGGCCATTAGCAATACTCTCATTGACATCTTTCATGGCAACACACCTTACTAAATCCTCTTCGCTGGCCAAGAACCTGAATGCCAGGTTTTCTCGGAACAATGGTAGGAGAACGACGGTCTCTAGAGAATGAATACATTCCATAATGCATGACTGATCCTAAAACAGAAATGAATGATTAATTGAAAAAATTCAATTTCATGGTCTTTACTGCAGTAAAACAAACATCATTTACATACCTGTATCATAAGGCATTCCTAATGTCTGCATTACATTCCAACTAAATTTCTGAAAATTATGTTCCATTCCTGTTAAAGAAATTATATATGTAGAAAAGTATCAATGTTAATAATGAAATCATTTTTAATGGACCAATAATATCTTATTGTCTTATGGAGATAAAAAAATTAAAATCAGAATATGGCTATTACTAGGGATTATATTTTTATGTAAATACGTATTTTTAAATGATACCTGTTTTGAATAATAATTTTTAGAGCTAACAAGCCATTTTCCATGAATTAAAACTATTTTATATTACATATTTTGGTATAATTACATATTTTTACATGTTTTACTTATTGCTACTTATTTCTTACATATTTCATTATATTTTAATACATTTATAAGTCTAACTGAAACATTTCTGAGGTAAGTTTGCAATATGTTACTGGAATCATATTTCTTCCATAACAATATAATGTTACTGTGCATCTATTACCACCAAACCTCCATCTTGAATTGTGAAACTTACATACACCCTGCTGCACTTCGAAACTGTACTTGGAAACAAATGTGAAAGGATGGTTGTGAAGCACAAGTAATTTCAAACAAGTGCTTGGTCATGTTTCATATGGTCAGGTTAATTTATTAACTGTAATTATTAATTAACTTAATTGAAAAGTAACAAATCTTTTTTATTGATCACTGTTTTATTGTGTTTTTGGAAGAAGGAGACCCCCCCAATTAGTTTTAGACAGATTTAGAGAGAAAATATTTAGATAGCTTAAAATAAAAGCATACGTTAGTGAAAGTTTGACTGAAGTAGTTTATTCTTCTCTAATGAAGAATCACAGCGGGGACATAAGATAAATAGTACTAATAAAAATTGAACTTACCTCGTTGAATGTTGTGCCACAAAACTGTTACATAATCATCCCGATCACCCCGACTCTGTTCATGCCAAAACCCAAGGGCATGCAGTAGCTCATGAATTACAATTCCTTTGTAAACACATCCAGGAGCCAAAGAAATGGGTTGGCCAGAACCACTTCGACCCACATGACTGCTACAACTGTTCACAAAATTTCAAACATTAAAAGTTTTTGGGTGTAATGAAAATTTTTAACGGTAAATGAATGAAACAAAGACTGTCAATAATGAGGTACAAGAGTGAAAAGATACCTGAGTTATTGTAAACAATTCCGTACATGCTGTAATTTTTGAGTTATTAAAATGAAAGCATGTATGTAATGTATCTATGGAATTTTGTGTTAATGGAAAGCATGTACAGAATTTTGCGTCAGCAAAAATGAAAGCATGAGTAGGTACTTTTCAGTTATTTTTCAATTACCATCTGGAATTTACAGTTCATTGGCTTCAAATAATGTTTTGTCAACAGGCATGTGCAAAGGGGGGAGGGGAGCCGTGTCTCCCCTCTCAAAATGTTGATAGTGGCCCTATACTCCTATGTAATAAAATATTATATTTCCATAGATATGATCAAGTCCTGATTTTTCTATTTTTAAACTGATAATATGGGGAATTAATACTCAAGATTTGGGGAAGAGGCTCTCCAAATCATCTGGTATTCCTGTAAATTGATCAACATAAAATCAAATTTATTTATTAACGAATTTGTTATTAAATGTACTATTAAATCCCAAAAAAATTTCTTGGCGTATTTTATCTATTCCCTAGTTAAATATGTCATATACATAAATAAAAAGTTTAATGTAGGAGGGACCAGAGGGGCCCAGAAATGTAGACCCCTTTCTTATTTTAGATTGCGCACGTCTATGGTTTTGTTAAAAGTGAACATACAAAGTACATTTTTAAAAAGAGGCCAAATCATTATATCTAATATATTACTTGCAAATTCGTTTTCGGCGTCTTGAGTTGTGCGCACGGTCCCCTACGAGAGGCGGAGAGCGAAAGATTCGCGTTGCTTCTTTGCCATGCGCTCGGGAGCCGATGGCCGTGTGCGTCCAACTTGCCCTGTCTCCCCCCCCGAGCCACCCCCCCCCCCCCGGCCGATGTTGCGTAAAGTGGCAGCAAGCCCTTCCCCGACGCCACGAACCTCGCGGGCGAATTTCCGGAGTCGTGTGACCGCGAGACAAACGCGGGCGCGAATGCGTTAAATCCCACTTCGGAGGAGAGGGCAAAAAAGTATTATTTGCACAGTGACGTCGTGTTTGTCAAATGTCTTAATAAAAGACTAACTTTAAGAGCGCTTCTCGGTTAGGAAAATCGCTCATTTTATACGATCGTTGTTTTAAACACTGTGACTTAATTGTAAATTAAAATTTAATATACTTGAATTTACATTATATTATTATTATTATTATTATTATTATTATTGTTATTTTATTTAAGGATAACCTCCATTTTTGTTTTGAATTGAAATAAATGAATTTGATTCTTTTTTATACAATTCATACATTTTATAAAATTCGTTTAAATAAATTAATTTTTGAAAATATAATATAATTATAATAATTAAATATATGGGTATTGTATATTTTATAGTTTAAACGTACACGTTGAACAAAGATCTACAGCAGATAGTTACAAAAGGGAGGAAATACGCGAAATAAAGAGGAGGGAATAGAAAATTGCAAATAAATTGAAAATCAGAAAATTGGTAATAAATTAATAAAGGTTTCAAAATACTGAATAAAACAAATGAGGAGGTGTAACATTATTTTTAAAATTATAATTCCTTACTTACCCTACTCCTTTTTGTAAATATATGTAGTCCAACTGAGATGTCCGAGGTACAAACCGAATGCAAGAAAGCCGATGGAATTCCAAGAAGGATGCAGCAATAACACTACGTTCATATACTCCTGCAATATTTAATACGAAGATAATGTAAAATATTGTTGATAGAATAAAATGTGTGCAAAGAAACATAAAAAGAGGCAGAGTAGCTAAATTTAAATGAAATATACCTACCAAAAGAAGCGGAAATAACATACGGGACAATGCCACGTGGCCAACGCATCTGTAGACTCCTTATTGCATTTCGTCCCTGGAAAGTTTATTATAATTAGGGCACCAGCCAATTTTTACATATACGTCAAGGCTATGTCAGATCCGGGAAATTGTGCAAAAAAATACGTCTTTAAGAGTTCGTGATGACCATAGAGGGTTTTTTCTCAAACAATGTCTCTGTGAATCTGTCAACAACTAGAGCCTGTACTTATAAGTTCATCAGTGCCTTCTTTTAAAGCCCGATGAAAACAAACATAAGCATGGCGTTAACATAAGAGTTAGGACTACTTCCATAAGCGGACTCATTCACAATGCGTTCGCATAAGCATAATACGTAAGACGTTAACTTAAGAGCTTGCAAGTTTCAAGCTTCTGTGCTTATGCGTAAGTAAGACATAAGAAATGAACCAATAACAGTACGTTAACTCAAAATCGAGAATCGAAAGAGGAGCGAAGTCGACAGACGAAGTTTTTTTGACTAAATACATCTAAATCTAAAGTACCGTAAATCTAAAGGGCCGTGAACACAGTCGATACCTCGAAATGGATTCTCACATTCTATCAATATTATTCCAAAATGTCTCAGAGCCAATAGAAACTCATATTTTGCTTACGTTTATGTTAGACATTTGAATACTTCAGTCTATCACTTATGTTAATGTTTATGTCTACGCGTTCTGCTTATGTTTACGTTTGCATTGTGAATGGGCCTTTATGGATAACTCATTTGTAAATGGTTTCATCGCTATCTCTTGCAATGTGATCTCTCAGCATGATACTGATTTGTTTCCCGACCTGCCCCTTCTAAGAGTAACTCCTCTACAATGCGCGCCTGCCTCACCTGCGCCACTTGGGAGGCGTTGACGCCGGCGATGTCCCCCTCGAAGAGGCCAGCCACCTCCAGCGGATCGGGCGAGTCTTCGTCTTGCGGCGGCGCCAGCAGCTCTGCCCATGCATGCCCAGCAAGTCAATGACAAGGACAAACTCAGTGCGGCGAAAATCTCGCGCGGTTTTCAACAAGTTTTGATTGAGGAGCTGTGAAAAACTTCCCGTCGCTCTTCAATGGCTTTTCGGTTTAGTCAGGTCAATCTGATATCCCCGTACTCACACGTCTGCTATAACCTTCCGAGATTAAGGGAAACAGACATTTAGGAACTAAGAATCAGCCCGTCGTCCAGTTCCGTGGGGAGAAAGGTTCTCTGACATTGGAAAAGATCGAAGGAAGAAATCTCATTGAGGCGTTATCTGAGGCATCGTATGAACCTGCTTGTCGAAGTCGATCAGATGTTCCACGGATTCTAAAATGAGGCGCATTCACTGTATTACATAAACCAATGTTAACGCTGATAGGTCTTTGATGAGCACTTCAAGTATGAACAAGAAGTAGACTTTATTCTCTCAAATCATTACAAACAGCCTGTGCCGGATTTAGTACTTCCAGGCCCCTTAATTTTGTGATAATCTTGAAATGTAAAGAACTGTTTATATTCTATACTACGTTTTGCAATATTTGTGAATACTGTTTTTGTAATGTTTCTACTGTTTACTGTGTGTGACTAAAAAATTACCTATTTTTTCCGCGTTGGCATAATCCTCTGGTGTTAAAGGTTCTCCGGGAACATTCATTTCCTGAAAACAAAATGCAAGCTTTAAAAGTATCGCAAAAAATTGTGGATATACAAAAGGTGGAAAGAAAGGATGAATATAAATTCCTCATACAATCCTCACTGAAAGTTGTTAGACCATGCTGCTGTTTTCAGTGATAAAATTAAATCATTAACATTAAGTTAAAAGTTAACCTTTTAGTTTAAACTGATTCGATTTATTTTCGTCAAAGAACAGTAAAAACTGTATATGATATACCACGGGGAGAAGTATAAACTGCGCAAGTTTTCTTGAGCTCCAGAATATTTTCCCCACTCTATTACTTTAGTTAGTTTAGTGATGAATGAAAGTAACAATAAAGTGAAGTTACCAACTCAAACGTTTGAAAACTATATATCATAGCCCCGAGTTCTAGAAAAAAATTATTGTTTCGGTAAACGAATCACAGATTTCATTTTATTAGTTTCGTTAACAAAATAGCAACGTACACCCCCAGCTCTACTGCTACCACAACTAGCAAAAGGAGAGCCCAACAAAACTTGTGCACAGTGAAGTTACATTGACGTCCAGAAGCAAAACAAGGAATCATCTCAGCATTTACTCGGATCAGAATAACTGGACAAATTTTTCACTTTTAGTTTGAGGGTTTATTAACTAGACAACTGAAAACCGTGTATATTCGAGTTACCTAGTTGTAGCACAAAAATGGTATAATAATAATAATAATAATAATAATAATAATAATAATAATAATAATAATAATAATATCAATAATAACAATAATAATAACGATAACAATACAATATTATGTAAAGAGTGAAACATGAATAGCTGTGCCAAGTGGCTTTGGTGTGGGTACCTCGTCGGGGCGGCCGAGGGGGATGTCGACGGGCTCCGGGCCCAGCGGCCACGCGCCGGCGCCCAGGCCGTTGCCCTCGCCGTCCGGCGGCGGCTCGAGCTGCTCGCAGCCGGGGAGGGCGCACGCGAGGCGCGGCGCGGGCATGGCCCCGCCGCCCACCGCCGCCGCCGCCAGCGCCGCCGCCAGCGCCACCCACGCCACTCGGGTGCCCATGCCTACCAAGCACACTCCTTTCATTATAACGCACTTCAGCTGCGAACCTATCACCGTTCTGGTAGTGCATGTTTTTTTGTTTTTTTTTTGTTTTGTTTTGTTTCCTCGGGAGGTGTCTGAGGCCTTCTCCCGCTGCATGGCGAGATTCAGGCATACCGTTGGCAGGCGGAGTTTTCCCAACCAGGTATCTCACGCCGGCGAGGCACCGCCTCTGCCGCGACAAGCTCTAAACCCCCCGGACCGGTCTCCCGGCATGTCTGCTTGTGTAGTGTACTTGTGTGTAAAGGGAGATGATAAGACAAGGAAGAGGTAGGAAAGATCGCGCACGCCCCGTTTGGTAGGGTACTGCTCCGGCATTCGCCTGGTATGAAACCGATCAAAGCAGCCAACCGCTAGAATCCTCCTCCAGACAACGACCTAGCTCCTGCCTCTTTTGGGAATGAAAGTAGGCCCTCCCGGTCAAAGGCGTTGCAGTGACTAGTTGATGCCTTGAGCCACCTCCCTGGATTCCCTGACCTGGCCCTAGCTGCAAACACGTACCTGTGAAGGAGGTCCTCTTGAGTCGGTGGCGCCGGCGCGCGGCGCGGCTTTATAAGCGCGAGGGGCAGGTGGCCGCGCGGCCCCTCGCCACGCGCCGATACCGCAGGGGCTCCAAAGCCCCGAACGCCAGAGGCTCCTCAGGCCACCAACTGCCTCTGGCCGGGCTCGAGTCTTGACGCTGGCACGATTTTCGACACTAGCTACACAGCTAGGTCGAAACCAGCCGCTCGCTGTCTGGAGGAGAATTCCAGCGGTCGGATGCTGTGATCGGCAGTTTTCCGTGGTTTCTCCGGTCAATATCAGGCGAATGCCGGAGCAGTACTCTACCAAATGGGTCACGGACCGCGCGCGATCTTTCCTTCTCATTCCTTGTCATATCCTTACACTCAGATGCTCTGCTCTACAACACATGCCGGGAGACCGATCCGCAGTCCCGGCAGGGGTGGTGCCCCGCTGGTGGGAGATACCTGGTCAGGGAAAACTCCGCTCTCCGACTGTAGGTCGGCACTACATCCATCCAGCGGGATAAGATTACAGCAGTCTCTCGTGCAAAAAACATGCATTACACGTATTGGTCTAATGAGTAATCTTAGCAGTTAATGCGCCTGGATTCACTAGTATTCAATCAATCAATATATAAACCCCCGCTGACAGAACTTTGTGAAAAAAGCGGTTAGGGGAACTTTTCATTTGTTCTATTTCACATTTTCAAAAGTATTTGTATTTGATTGAGCAGGCAAATTGCAAACGATGTCTTAATTAGAGCCCAGAATTCCGCGTATTATTTTTTTGAAAATAGGCAGATTCAAAAGTCCAAATTGTCAAACGGGATCAAACGTAATATCCAAGTATGGGATAGAAATGATCGTGATCGAAGGAAGCTTGTCGGCATCAACGAAAGAAATCCAAGAATCTTGATCTATCGAATAGCTTTCTGGCATCACTTTTTAACACATCGTGAAGCTAGAACCCAAGTTCAACTCTTCCTACCAAAAATTGCGCCTCTAGCTACAGAGAAAGACACAACAAAAAATGCCCACTTGCTATCGAGTCTTGAAGATAGGTTTCATTCAGCTCTATAGAGATCGATGCCAGGAGAAGGGGAAAATATTAAGGAAAGTGAAAGAAAAATATCAAAATAAGCCAAAATACTTAAAACAGACAAAAGAGGACAAATGAAAACATTTTAAAACAATTCTAGAAGCACAATTAAATGATTACCATTCTTAGTTTTAAAATCGTAACAATGATAAGGTATTTTTCCAAACTTTCTGGCTCTAGTCTTAACACTAACACGTGTGTTATACTGGAATCCGTTGAGGAATTATGACTTGTAATGGAAACATAAGCCATACAAAATTATGAGATACTCCAGTGAAAATAAACTGAAATTTCAAAATTAGATTGCAGACCGTCGATTGGATTGTAACATTTCAGATATCACGATCGTGGAAAAAAAGCAGGTATCTTCTGTGGACGTGGCTACGTCTTAACTTAAAAACAAATTCAGGTTCACTACTTTTCTAATTTATAGCTTTCCCCGATTTAATTTGATTTAATTGTACATCAAACTGCGCACAAGTGGATAATTTGCGTAATGTACATATGCTCTAGAAGAACAAAATGCATGATTGGAAAATAGTATATATCATTCCCAGTGTTTCAATTAAATTAGATGGGGCCCGAGGAACATGAATGAACCTCGCCAGTCCTTCTGTTCTCTTAGTGAGGTACTCGAAGCAGATTACCCTTACCCTCAAAGGCGGATCCAGCTGATCACTGGCGGGGGTAGGGGGTATAATAGATTTTTGTTTAATAATAAACATATTAGTTATTATATTGAATATTGTTTTTGTATGGTCCATATGACACTATATACTGTTGTTGTCTAATTATATAATTCTAACATAAATAAATATTTAAATTGATATTGACAAATAAAGTAAGGTAAGGTAAAAAAGGTAAACTCTAGGCCTTTTGTGGGGGACATGGCCCCCACGCCCCCGCCCTCAATCCACCACTGCTTGCCCTCCACCATCGCATAGGAATCATGTATCCATTCGTAATAATCAGTCTCGGCGAGGAAACGATGTTATTCACAGTAGCCTCGCAACTTTATTATTTAACCGATGTATTCCTTTTACAGGCCGCATTCGGCAGTTGCCTTTTAGTTTGGAGAGCCCTGAAATACAAAATCGTTGACCTGGACAAAGGATGCGATAAAACCCGCGCATCCGACGTCGAGGGCTAATGTGACATTTGTTGTACACATCGTGTCATGTGTGCCCCCTGCGATCAGACCGACTATTTCGCACTTGATGGACGGGGCGCGTAGATAAACGCGCCGCGTGTCGTGTTTTGGGTGGGTGGTAGGGGTGGGGGGCGACAGTCAGTAACATTAAATTTCCGGGGTCTGTGACCAGCCCTCATAGTGGGTATACGTTCCAAATGGCCCCAGCCCACATCACGGAAGTAATTAGATATTACGTTCGAAATGGTGGGTTTTAGACAACTCGATTCTCAGAGTAGCTACGTCTTCATTAGGGAAGGCCGAACACATACTTCGTTTTTATTCGGTGGACTGCGGGAGGATGACGATGTACACAACAAATTCCTCACATTTAAAATTCATGTTTTGTTTTTGTTCATGAACAAATACTTCCTTTTTGCGACTCATCTTCTCTATTGTTTTATTAAATTTAAATTACTATCTTACGTATGCTGTTATAAACGTAAGCGTCATTATATGCCCAGTTGTCCCATTACCTTACGTCGGCTGGCTCTATGTACACGTATAAGATTCTACATTGGGGGTGTTCCGTTCATGTGGGCTAAACAAATACAGATAATATGAGATTTCGGTTGAAAACAATATTATATTGGGAAATGATTTTTCAAATTATCATTACCAATGAGAATATATCATTTAGAATTGAAAGGCAGAGCGCAATAGTGGTCCAATCCCCAGAAAAATGGGTTGACACCATTTGTAACCTATGAAGGTGAACTATCTTTCTACATTGTTGGTTTGACCAGTTTTCCTTAATGTTTTGTCGAACTAATTGTTGTAACATCTGATTTGCCCTACTTCCTTTGCTTATAATACATTAAACATAATATGAGGTTTTCTATAATATATTTCATTATACACGATGTATTTTACATCGTGTTGTCGCGTTTTCAAATTTAAATGATTATATTTAACTTTGAAATGAATATAGCTCATCTCAATACACTTGCACAGGTGTATCATAAAAATGTTACAAGCTTCTAGAGCGTGTAGAAGGGAAGAAAAACATCACATTTTGTAAAGGAACATGAAAGGAGAAATTTCATAAAATGTAATAACACATGTGTCTTTTCCCCTTTGATTTTTAAGCAACTCCTTCTGCCCAGTGTTTGGAAGGCCACATTCTGATGCAGTTAAGGATATTTCATGTATCTGTAGAACATCTGTGAATATGGGGTTACCTGAAATCAGGGGAATAAGGTTACATGTGTAACTCCGTTATAATCAATTTCTCATGAATTGTTCATTGGCAAAAAGTGATCAATTTGACCCCGATACATGCTCAAAAATGTAAATTTTATTCTGAGTCAGTCTGGATATCCGATTAATTATTTTTGTAAACTTTAAAATTACGGTAATTTTTACATTCTATTAATAAATATGTAATAATTATTAAGAATTTCATGGTTATTATAGAACGAATATAAAATTATTTGAAGGAGTGTTTCATTAATTTAAACATTAATGTTAATATCTAAACGTATATACGTAGTGTTGTGCAAAAAAACGGCGGATTTTCGGCAGAAAAAAATTATTGCCGGATCCTGATAACGAAAACGCGGATAAATCCAGTTGTTAAATTAAGAAAAAATCCTCTAACATGTGGTGTAGCCATGTTTTGTGGGTCCTAGATATCGAAAACTGGATAGACGGCAAAACGTCCGTCTGTGAACACAACGCTAGCAGGTAAACCGTTCAGCTGATTTTTTCCAAAACTGATATTCCTTTTTCTATCTAGCTGATGTCTCGGCTCCTTGAATTTGAAATCGATATTTTAAATTTTGGAGGGTACTTTACATAAAACCGTTGAGACATTTTTAAAATAAAAAGTCTCCGTCGTTTTTGATTAAATTTTGTTGTTTGATAGTGTGAAGGACGTTTAAGAGAATGGTGTATGTCTCAAGTTCCCTGAGTTTTCGAAAATTGCAACAAAAAAATCGGAGTCTTTCTATAACTACAATTATGAAGATAAGCATTTTTTCTGACCGAAATGTTTTCATCAGAAACATCTTCAAATAAGGTAATGTTGAATTTTTTTGAAAATATGTGAATTTTTTGTGTAATTTGGCGACAAACAGTCGCCCGCTCCGAATTGACTGCACTTCGTGAACGTAAAATGAATGGTGATGTAAGGCACCTGCTACATAAGTTATTATTTGTTCATTGTTTTATATTTCTTTGTTCGTTTCTTACATTTGAGCGTTTGTTATACGTTTACAAATTAATCTTTTAGGAATTATTTAAAACATATTTTAAAATGCGTCCTTTTATTGCCTTAAGTATAAAAATGAATGGATAATTTCGCTTTGCATAATAAGATGTTGGAATGAAAAGTCATGCGTGTAAAGACCCAGAAATTTTGAAAAATACAAAAATATATTTAATTATATTTTTCAATCCACTTTCATTTTCTTCTAGCGGTATCAAGAATTCTTATTTGCAAAATATGTATCCCATACGATTTAGCGTCCATTGTTGCTTTTGCAATCAATTGCTTGTAACATCGCACTGATAAAAGAATGACGGTCGCCTTTCGTTCGCGTTAATATAATCTAAACCTTTTATTTGCGGCTAAAATACGCATCGCGGCTCGTTGGTACATTTATGTAGAACGTAATCGTTTGTTTATGAATTTTTCAAATGGTGGTTGCGTATAAGATAGAAATTGTCATATAATAATATTACATAGCCATTAACAATATAGCGAGAAAGCACGTGCTGTTGGAGCACCACTAGTTTGAAAGTCAGGAAAGTTCTACATTTTTTCGGCGTCTTCCTACAACAATAAAAATGAAGATATAATTTTCCTTGAAGAAATCTATTTATTAGAAATATATCTTCAATACGTATTTGAAGTTCCGTGAGATTGGTGGTTATCCTGCTCATGAGTTTGAAAATGTCATACTACACAAGAAATTTAACTTTTATGACCCAGAGTTCAGAAGGCAGATTCACTTAAATGTTTACACTTAAAAACCATCAAAAATATTATCGACTCCATTTATCTTTATGTTGCAATCTCTCTCGCAGCTCATACTCACACATATTCCCATGCTCATATTTCTGTATCTCTGACAAATCATTGCTTGGTATTTACCCGCTACGAACTACGCTCGTTACCAAACTGTAAAATTACAATGTTTGGACGCGAAAAGGTCTAAACACTGTGACGGTACCCTATTAATTGCCTCCAACGCTTTTAAGTCTGTAATTGGTTTAATTCATTTTATTTCGCCTCCTCGTAATAGCGAATGTCTATGGCGGATCAATACATTTATGGGATTTTTATATAAAAGATGCACCTACGTTTTTAAAAGGGTTCCGTTTGTGTTAATTAGTTTAGGCAGCGCTTGTATCCGTGTACATGATGAGGTACGAAAGTTCACAATGGGCAATGTCGACGACTTAGTTATTGCGTTAGTTATATTTAAAGAACATATTGAGAACCTCAGAAAGGTCTTCGACATTTTCATTGAAAAACATGCAATTGAACTACGAGGTATCTTGATTTTGCAAGTGTGATACTCATATTTAAGGTTTTCTGGTTTGTGGTGAAGGTATTAGAATGAATCAGAAGAAATGCAATCCCTTCGGCTCATTCTACAAAACAATTTAAGTTTTCTGGAGGTCTGTGATTATCAAGCTAATGTCAAAATTTCTCCATGATCTTCCAACCACTACTGGAAATACTGCTAAAGAATGAGAAGTAGTTTTGGGAACATTACCACCAAACTGTATTTTCACAACTTAAACCGAGCCCCGTAATCCACCGCAGCGGGCGGCAGAGGTCAGCGGTTACGATAGCTAACGAAAGAAAAGCTCAGGCAGGCCAAATACGCTAAATACGGTGAAGAGAATTCGTCATTGTTACGATAGTAAAACAAACATGTTTTGTACGCAATGTATGAACTCGTGGTAAAGAGCAGTTGAGGGATGGCGCATCGGCTACCAAGGACGAAATGTTAGAAAATGCTGGGTTGAATTCGTGAGAATATGGACGCCGTAAAGAAGGCCGGTTAAATTCTGATTTAAAACCCAAATAGTAACGACGTTAAGATATTAGAAGTTTGGCTAAATCTTGGGGAAGGTTTCACCAAATAATTCTGAATAGGAAAATAGGTTAGAATAATAAACCAAACTTTAAGTAAAAATGATTTATGAAACTGTATATATCTCTCAGTCTTTTTTCTCAAAACAATTTTTCAATGCACTAAAAATCTTTTATAAATATTACAAAACGTTTTAATGAGAACTAATTTCAAGTTCAAAATTTTGAGAAATGCTAGAAGACATAATAACTTTTATATAATAGTTCATTGAGGAAATAAAATGCTCTCTTTTCTCTCAAAATTCAAGACAGAAAACTTCCAATTTCACCAGATTCTCAGTAGTTGCACTTAATTCTACAAAATGTTCTAATATTCATTACCATAATATTAATTCTCTTACTATTATTATTATTTCAAACATGTTATGTTTAATTATACAATTCACATTTCTGCAATTTGTGACCACGATGATCTGAGCAGATGTCTCGCTTGAAACCAGGGAGACTTCGGTAGAAACAATCTTTGTAGCATTCATTGTTTTCACAAAAATACATCTAGTGCTGTTTTCTGGGGAAACAATCAGCAATCTGTACTCTTCAAGGTAAATTGAATGCTCAGAATTTGTAAACAGAAAGTAATTTTAAAAGGCAGAAAATAAAATACTAATTACATTATGACATAGTCGTAAAGTATTTTGTTTACATCTGCTGTAGTTCATTTGCTGGACACTTCTTTAATATTAATTCTAAATATGATATATAATCTGAATTACTTGCTTAATTACTTGAAAAAATGAAGTTATATTATCACTATTACGGTTATGCAATGCACATGTTAGATGTTATCAATATGTCAGAGTACCACTAAACTTTTTTTCCAGAAAATCAGCACTGAATACATCCATAGTTAATAAAACAATTTGAGAAATGGTAATAGCAATTTGAGAAAAGTAATAGTTCAAGCAGGAAAATAAATAAACAGCATCTCGTACAATTCATTGTACTACAGAATGTACTTACGTTATCACAGGTAATACCATGAGACCATTAGAAATTTCCGATTTACAATAGAAATTTCCAATGAAGAAGTGGCATTCAACAAGACTATTCCACAAATGAAATAACATCCAAAACAGTTTAAGAATGTGCCAAATAGTATATTGTTTAGTGCTCCCAGTGCACAAGACCGTGCTTCCTATGATTTATGTACTACACCTTGTAACTGGCCAACTGGGAAGAGGTGGTATGATAAAGCGGTAATTTTTGGGAGGTACACCATTTTGATTAGTGCATACCAGATCTATATTTCAACACTATTGGTGTTAATTTCATGACTGGAATAGTCACTATAAATTGCTATTGCAAATACCACAAAAGAGAAAGAATCGCAGATGAAGGATTTCAATATTACATCTAAAAGGACCTTTTTTTTAATAAAACATAAAAATTCAAAATACTGCTTTAAAGGTTTTTTCTACTGAATAGTAAATGCTCAAAAGTATACAAGATGCATCCAATATAAAATTGAAGCAACTAATTCTGATTAAAGAAACTTAAATCGCAAGTAAATAGCTAAAATGTTACTACAGTAATAAATATTTTTAACTTCTTTATATCAACAACAGTGGTAATTTATATTAGTCAACAATAGTACAGTGTAAACTGGTAATTTATATTAGTCAACAATAATACCATTTAAACAGTCTTCTAAAACCTTGAAAACAGATCAAACAGGTAAACATCATTAAAATACTGGACAATGGAAATGCAGATAAAGTGAAACAACAACAAATTCATCTTGCAGATCCTATAACTATGACCTAGTCCTTCTACATCACTACTGGACACAGAATCTTGTGTTCATACAAAATTTAAGAAATAAAATTCAGACTACACTATTAAATATTTGGCAGTGTTAAAAAATTAATCTGTTACATTCTTTTTGGTAATAGAACAATTTATGTTCATTGTAAATAACATTATTTATATGCAATTTTGAACAAAAAACAGATTAATTCCTTTTCTTTAATAGAAATAAATGGCAAAACATTAAGAAAGACACAATAAGAAAATAAACAGAGTCTTCAAATAATTGTTGCTGTCAATCAAATATTAGTTCCTCTGGTCACTAGTGGTTTTAATATTGGGCATCAAAACAATTCTCTTCTTGAAACTATTTTTCAGATCAATTCTGTCTTAGAGGTTCCACCAGTTAATAAAACACTGTATCATGTGACACAATTTTTCAGGTGTTTCAAGCATTGCAAAATGACCTGCATTTGCAATAAGCTCCAAGGATGAGCGAGGAATTGTCTGAAAGAAGAAGACAAAAATAAGAAGTATATCTTTGAAGGTGCAGCATATACTCTCTTTTAAAACTGATTTTTTCTAAACACATTTGCTTGTAGGATAAATACATTTTCAGTTCTATAGAACTTAGTATAGTTGTGTCAATAATCATAAAATAAATTTAAGAAAGTTTTTCTATAGAAGCGACTCAGAACGATCAGACAAATCGATCATTACACTTAACAGTACAAAATATTGTTGACAAATTAATATGATCACATTTTTCCTTTCACTAATGGTAATTTGAACATTGGCAGTCAACCAAACCCAAAATAAGCTGATATATATCAAAGAACATATTAATACAGAAACAGGATACAAATTAATAAGAGACTCAACCCTTTTTTATTAGGACTGAGTTTCGTATTGATCTGAAACTCCTTTATCATTAAACAATTAAAAATAAATACATTTTTAAAACCATTAAAAAACACATGTGAAAAATAGACTGCAATACTTAATGTATACAGAGATATTTCCAATTCAATCAACCTTCTTACAGACAGCCAGTGTATATAGCACTGATAGTGTGTATTTTGCAAATTTACATTCTCGCATCAGTAATGGCACAATATTCTGAAGAAACATATCTTACAGAACTCAGACTTTTAAATGTCAGAATAAAATAATACAAATAATAAGCACCACATGATCCCTGCAAGTCTCTTTTCATTGAGCTTGGAATACTACCATTACTTTGCCTATTCAAGAATGTATCTTCTGTTTTTGCCAAAACTGACTAAATCAAGGAGATAATATTTTCTGCAACACAGATATTTACAAAAACATGTTATACAAATGATATTGCAACCAGATAATTATGAACAGCTAACCAGAGGTGTATCTAGGTATTCAGGTGCCCTTTAGGAAGCATATAATTTGCACTGTCAGGGTACTTCAAATTAGGGTTGTTGTAGTACTATTCTAAACATTTAGGGACTATACCATCTATCAACAATGAAATATGTTACATTGATACCTGTTCAACACGGAACTTGAATAAGACAGAAACCTGTCCAAGTCGGAAAGTATTTTTGGTCCTGAGGAAAAGCATATGTTTTTACTTGTTATTTCACCTGAATAAAACAGAAACTGTCCAACGCAGAAATGGAAAACCTCTGACACTGTCTATTATTCACTACCCACTATCCAAAATGGAAAATTATTCTGATTGAAGGCTAGATACACACTTTCCCTATTTCACACGCTCTCTTTGAGACTACAAGAGAATTTCATGAATGGGATTGATTTCTGTTCCTGGAGGCGCAGACAATTCATGCATCCACCCTATTTTTGCAGTGCTCCGTTTTCACGGTGGGGAAGATTACTTTGCCTTTTTGGTTGGCACTTGCTGCTCTAGATGGCCAAGGCGGCCTCTTTCACAAGCTGAATATGAGTTTTCAATAATCATTACTGGTTTTCAAGAAGAAAAAAATTATGATTGTGATTATTATTATTATTATTATTATTATTATTATTATTATTATTATTATTATTATTATTATTATTTCTTCAATCATGATTTTAAAATTCTTTTTAGTTGTCTTTAACTCCTTTTACTCTCTGATTCAAAGTATATCGACTATCTTTTATTCTATGATTTAATTCATTCTATGAGTGTATTCACTACTTTTATATATTATTCTCTGATACTTGCAGTGAGGCAGCTATTTGTTTTGCTGTGTTTTATATAATTGTTGTAATAATAATACTAATAATATTTATTGAGTCATACAATTGCAATCATGTATGACGAGTGAATAATGAGCTTTATGTATTTTTATTGTAAGCATTCTTGTCATGTGACCTATGTGACATGTTAACTTTAGAATAATTATTTGTATCTCTAAGGGATGATCCGTTGTAGAATAACAAAATTCAAAAAGTAGGCATTTTGTTGACTTGCAGTATAAATTCAATGTGTTAAAATTAGAATTCTTTAAACAATATTGAAGATGTTTAATTTATTAAGCATCCAAATTTATATATTAGTTGTAGTTCTGGTCAATATATTGAGTAGACTGCAAAGTGTATCCAATATACCACAAGATCACTTATGTATTAAACATGGCATAACTATTCACGAGTTCAAAATGGATAAAAATTAAAGATACTTTTTAGAAGAAAGTTAATATGTAATGAAAACTTTTTTATAACCAACCCTTTCCATTTCACACTCCTGCACCAGTGTGACATATGGATCTTTCATGCCATGAACCAAAAGAGTGGGTACAAGAATGCGCCTGTGGAAAGCTGAATCTCCTTCTGGCCAATCTTGCCCTCGAGCAATATGGTTCAAAACATACGAAGGAACACCAGCCTTGATGGAATCAGCTGTTTCTATGTGTTTTCCACACGGAACATAGAGAATATCTCTGAAATAAAAAGAAGAAGTAAAAGAAGTATTGAACACATGAATGTAATCACATCCTTCTACAATTTTACAATCAAAATCAAGAAGTTCACAAGATCTTGTCATTTTCTTTTATAGAATCCAAATACATTTACTTTCCTACAGGTAAATATATTTTTACTGAACAGTCAATTACCTCTTCAGACCACAAAACAACAGAGGTTTTAAACATATCTGCAACCACGGAGATACAGCTGGTGGTCGGAAATCTGCAGTACGAGGAGCCAAGGGAGTTGGACCTCCACCACTGACAAGAACTAGTTGGCTTACTTGCTGAGGACGATATCTAGCCAATGCAGCCGCCAAGCTGCAACTACAAGTAAATATTTAATTACAATTCAAACAATGGTGAAACACACCAAACTCAAAAGAATTTAACACACAAATACACATTATTAAACAAATACTTCAAACCTTGAGATTTGCGATATGAATGAAATGTGCATAATGTCTTTTTTCTGGGAGTTTGAGCAACCAATAATATATTATACATACAAAGTAATAAACAATTCAATTAGAACTTTATTTCCTCCTTTCATAAAGTAGTATGCGAGTTCTACTACCACAATCTATGATAAAAGATAATATATTTGAAAAAAACATGTCACCTGAAAATGAAAAATTTTTAAATTTTGGGGATGATGCAAATGACTTTAAAAACTTTATATAAATGGAGGGTGAATGAATTACTCAGTACACAAGCCTCTGCGGATGCTCTATTTTGCTGTGATTATCTATCACCCTGCACCTTTCAATAAATGTAAATAATAATTATTTATTAATTAAAATAAGTGACAGATCAAGTATTCTATGCTGATTTTAGGAGAAGTGATCGTTTTTGATGATTTGCGCAATTTGAAAAAAATGCGTAAACATTGAGAAAGGAAGGTTCCCTTACGTTATTTCTTTTACATTGTTCAAATGACAGACTTCAATTAACTGAATACTCTGAAACAGTATCACTTTCACTTTTTAGCTCCTCCCAAATGTAATAAAAAACATAATGGCATAATGAAATAATTCCAATCTAGCTAAAACTTAAACAAAGTTGAAACTATTTACCTGAATAGCAACAGGTATGGACAAGTTGTTTACAAAAAAATATTTTTTCTCATTAAATGATTTCATTATTATTCACATTTAAATTTGAAGACTAACTTTCAGATCCACAACTTAAGAAATGCTGATTCAGGATGAATGAAATGCAAATTTGTTGTAGTAATTAGCAGACTTTGAAAAGTTAGGAGACTGATGAATCTTTAGTTCAAAAGAGTAACTTGTAAAAGGGAAAGGGGCACGGTGCTTCAGCCTCTTCCCTCAAAGCTGATGAAGCTTGATCACAAAAACCTGATTTTACTAATTTTCTGCAATAACAAAACTCATTTGATATCTCAATACATTAAATTATTAAAAAAATTAAATTCAGTAATTCAATTATTTATAACAAAACATCACGTATGCTGGACACTAAACCTACAGACCTTCCTGCAGAAAAATCCTGGTTGCATCATTGGATACAATGCTATATTGGAACAGTTTCGAATGCAAGGATTGAAAAAAACTTTCTACAACAATTTTGTAACTTTTACAACTCAAAATTCTTTTTCTTTGAAATAGTTGTTCGATCACTTTACCATTTACAAAGAATGGCAAATTGACGATGATGATGATGAAAGTTCAGTGCAGTGAAAATAGAAAAAATGATAGGTCATTAAAAACCCAACTAAAAAAGTGGGTTTAACAGAAATAACCAGAATTTTTAAACTGATTTTCAAACAAATTTGCAAATTATAATTTATACTTTATCAGCCTAACAGTTGAGATGTACAACACTGTAGTGTATTATTTTATTACTTTTTGTTTTCCTGTTTACTTAGCCTCTACTTCTACAGAATAACAATGATACATTTTTAGTAAATAACATTTTTATTTTTTCAAAATCAAAACTGAGTTTATGTCGTTTTATTCAATAGCACTATCCTTACAAAAAGTTTCAAGAAAAATAAGGAGAAGTTTTTGAGAAAACCTTGTTTATAATATTGTCCATATTTTCCTCAAAATTGAATGAAAACTACAAGTATTTTCAAAAAAATTTACATGACATTGATTGAATAACTAATTATGGAGAACAAACTTCATTTGAAGAAAATATCTTCAATTTTGTAGTTGTAGGTAGGGTTTTGATTATTTAAGTCAATTGATTTTTCAGTATCATGGAGTCACAAAACATGTGAGAAAGTACAAATATCATTCTAACATTTTTTGAAGCAGAATTATGTTTCTATACTCTCTTCATCTAAACTAATACCATTTTACAAACTCAAATGTAAATTTAGTGTTAACCAAGATAAAAGTAAAAAGTTTGTCTTTTTCTCAACATTATGTTGCATGCCAATATCTATGCATCACAGATTTATAATTTGTAATGGTAATATGCTTTTAAAGAGTACTACAAAAGGTTCACATCCATATGTATAATTATTTATCGGAAAGCATTCCCAGAACTGAATACATGCTTAATGCTTGAATAAAGATATTGTACATGTCACAACATTTATAAATTTTTCATTCTAGGCTCAAGACCTTCATTCAAACAATATACATGCATACACATAACACAGGGGGAACTTCACATGTGTCGAATCACACAATATTTTTGATTGGTTTTCTTTTGAACAAAAAACAAGACAAAAATCAACCCCATGCAAATATGTCAGATATTCATTCAAAGTACCTCAAACGTGAATCCCCAATTCAAACAGCAAGAAAAAACTCCACGATAAATTTTATTCAAAATCCATCCAGCAATTCCTCTAGATATGTGTCCAGATTCTGCCAACACATATGTGTTCACCTTGTTTTGTTTTGGTTTCATTTTAACAAATTATGAATTAATGTGTAACATTATTTTAAATATAAGTTTTCATTTACCCAAAGGCATGTCCTATGACAACACATTTCATTTCTCCCACGAACTTGTCAAATATGTCCAACGTGTCTTTCAAAAGATTATGGAATGTGTAAGCACAAGGAGAATCAGGAGTTGAACTGAAGCCATGGCCCAACATGTCAGGTGCCACAACTTCATAACCTTCTTCCCCAAAATAATACAACAAATGAGACCACAGATCTGCTGAGCATCCTACACCATGTAAAAACAGAAGAATAGGTTTCTGAAACAAATTTAAAAACGGGGAAATTAAAAACATTCAATATATTAAAAACTGAAATTACTGTATAAGAATAAACTAATGTTTGTCCAAATGACAAGTTGGAAATGACTGTTTGACTTTTAATTAAATTCTATTTAAAATTCTATCTGGACAACTGCAAAAACATTAATGCGATTCCTTAGCATGCCTCTTCAGAAGGAAAATTATAAAAGAAAATAAATATAAAAGGTTTGTTTTCAGATTATTTTGTTAAATAGACCCTTCATGTAAAACAGGACCTAAAAGAGGGATTATTTGGAGGCTTTATTTATAAAACTAAAATTAATCCTAGCAGCATGAACATTTACTTTCAACTGATCACAAAATTGCAGAACATTAATCAATAAGGGTAGGTGGAGAAAGAGTAGAATAGATTCTCACAATAAAACTAATTTTGTACTCTCATGTGTGTCAGTACATATGATGATTTGTATTTTGAACTGAAAGAATTAAAGATTTTCCTTTTAAAGCAGAACTGTGATTTAGTAATTTAGACCTGGAATGTGCAGTTGTATAATACTTACTTCTGAACTTCCCAAATAAATGAAGTTAGCAATACTGATGAGATTTCAGAAATAACCAAAATCAAAAATAATGGAGGATCAAGATAACAAGGTTAGATTATAAACTCATGCTATTTATTTCTTTAAATTCCCCTCAAAATGATAACCTGTTGGAAATATCAGTTAAAAGTTTCCATAAAATCAAATTTAAAAATTTGCTTATTTGTAACTCAAATTTATTTTGTTTTTGAGTTTCTGAAAAGCAGATTGAACTAATAATTACTGAAAAGAGTTCAGCTAATTGTAACAATATTGTTGACAACTTGTGATCATCATCATGTAGTAAATGAACCATTTTTAAGGAAGTCAGCCAATTGTTATAAGGTTAGAGAAAATTCCTTAGTAAACAGAGATTCTTTGACAGAATCCATTCCTAAATGATTCATGAATAAAAAAATTAAGAACACAAAGGATATCCATACATAATAAAAGCTTTAAAACAAAATACAACCGACAAATTATGGTATAATTCTATGCATTTGAGAAATATGTTTGTTCCTACCATGAGGAAATAATACACTACATGTACAAAAGTGGCACAATGAAATACCTTACTCCTTTTAACTGATTCTGATGCATGCAACTGATTCATTTTAGTAAAGATCAATTCTATGAGACTTAAAACAACTAAAAAATTTCCAGGGTATTTAATAATATAATTTGAAGCAGAAAATTAAGTTTTGAAAATTGTTATTGGGCTCTACTACTAGCCACTAGTTAAGTTAAAAAATTAAGTTAGCACATGAATATCATCATTCAACTTCACACAATCTCCCATGGAATCTGTGATTACGAGGTGAACATTTGCTCATATCCAAGGAACTTAGGATACTGGCACAAATTTCGAATTGCTATTGAAAAGCAAATCTTGTGTGAATGCTTTGTAGGTGACTATAGCTATGTATATGCTATACAATGAATTTAAAGGTAAATATTGTTTCAAAATCTAGGTCATTGGTGTGTGGTGGGGGAGGAAGAAAAATGGGAACATGTGTAACAGAGATTTTTGATTGGAGGAGAAAAGTACGGAGAAAAAACAGAGGAGAGTGAAACATTAAACATATTCGTGTTATCAGTCAGGGGGGTTGAATGGAAAATTATACAATAACAATAATAATGTTCAAATGATCTAATATAAAATTATTATTATTATTGTTGTCATTATTATTATTATTATTATTATTATTATTATTATTATTATTATTATTATTATTATTATATCTTTATTATAGTAGCATTAAAATCACAATAACATCTTGAAATGTTAAATAATCTCCTACTAAAAAAAATTATCTTCTGTATAATATCCTAATCTATCTGTAGCAAGTATTGTAGTATAATCCCTAGGCCAATGACCCCATCTCGATCAGGTTTTGTTCAGTTTCCCTGGTCCCTTGATCAAATGCTGAGATATCATATTGATTCGTCATACATGATTGTATTTGAATATATGACTCAATAAATATTATTATTATTATTATTATTATTATTATTATTATTATTATTATTGTTACTGATAGTAATAATAGTTTGATTTAATGTAGTATTATGAGTGCAGCAGACTGACAGTAAAACAAACTCATCTATAGAAATAAAATGTATCCCAACTTTCTTTCAACTTCTTGTCTCTATGTTTCTACTCACCCCCCACCCTTTTTCTTTTCTACATTTTTTCATTTTAATTTTGAATTATATTTGTCAATTATTCTCTGAATTATAGTGATTTCTGAGTTTTGAACAGCTGGGAGGCAGATATCCAATCAAGAGCTGCAATACACGTTCCTGATTTGATAACCACAGCCAACTGATAAAATGTCAGAAGTCATTATAATTATATCAGAATGAAAATGACAAATGATTTAAATCTTAACACAACGATTTACATATTCGAGTACTTGTGACATTTACATGTACCCAGATAGGTTGTTCTGCTCAACACCACTGGATAAATACTTCACACTGCAGGTTCTATCAGTCTCAAGAAGTAGAGGTATTTTATATTTATTTCAAAATATTTTTTTTTTGGAATGTAGACTAAAAGGTTAAATTTGAAATGTTCCTGTATGACCTATTACTTGAAACATTATATTTAAATATTAATAAATAGTTTGAATAAAATTAAAATGAACAAAAAAATTTAACATTAACTACATAAAAATTAAGAAAAGTAAAGGATTGCTCACTGACATACCGATGATTTATTTTTCAAATGGGGACAAATACTGAAATTCCCATTTTGAGTTACACTATTTTTTTCTCCTAATTTTAGCCGTATGTTTGGTTCTTCTTCGGCATCAGAGTATGATGAATTGTAATACACATACATTTCTCCATTGGATTGGTTTTCAGGAGTGTCTTCCTTACCACAACTGCAGTCGGACATAATGCCATTCATATTTGTTTTCAATGGCTTATTTTTCTGTAAAATACTTTGCTCTGGGCAAGGGCCTGAAATTCAACATCACACTTCACAATATATCTGTAAGTGGCTCATTTTAAATTATAATTTTTTACAATACAATACATACCTAATTCTAAAATACAGCCAATGTTAGATTCATCAGTCTTTTCTTCATGTTCACTTTTACATTGTCTTGAATTTCCTAGTTCAAATTTATGTTCTCTACTCTTTGCGTAAAGTACACTCTCCGATGTGCTTGAAAATGAATTTTGCAAAGTTTTCTTGGAACATATATTAGATATTGCATCATTTAAAATGCCTGTGACAAATGCATCTGCAAATTCTTCCAAAGAATTATTTAGTGTTACCTGTCTTGAAGAGAAAGAATGTTCTGGTTGAGTATTATCATTTTCTAAACACTGACTGGGAACAGAATTGACCATATTTTCTTGCCATAAGTTTTTAAATGATCTTCTACATTCATCACATAATCTCAAAGGTTTGCTCCAACAAGTAAATGCATAATCAGAATCCGAAAAACTAAACGTTCTTTTACGTTCATCAGAATGGTCGGAAAAATGAAGGGGAGATTCCACAAAATTGGATTTTTTATTGATAAAATTTTTTAGGTGAATAACTCGTATCAATTTACTTGCATGAAACCTAATGATCTTATTGTGATTAGGATTGCTTGAGTTGTCAGGATGAATTCGTCTTCTGCGCGCACAATTAAAACAAGTATAACACTGCTGAATCATTCGACAGGCACATTTTTGAAAAATTTCAAAAGCCGAAGCAGAATTTGACACGTTATTCATTGTTTACACTATTCAAGAAGCACACACATGAATAACAATCTAGTTACATGAAACCATCTTTTTCACTGAGAACACTTGCAAGTGATGTATTCCAGTCCACATTTTATTTCACCGTCAAACATTAGCAAACGGCTCACCTCAAACTCACATACACACTCATGCTTGCCTGGATGCCGCTGATGAGTCCTCATTGAAGACAAGTCTCTGCAGTGTAAACATTGTTTTCACCGGGCGAGGACGTCGCAACCTTTACGTCCACACAATTCAACCCACTTTTAATGGAAGTGACATGTTGGCAGCTCTGACGATACCTGCATAACAATAGAGGCACCTGCGCCACCTGTCACCCACATCAATAACTGCATCAAACCTCATACATTCGTGGGCAGCTGGTGAAAGAAGGGTAAACCACCATAAACTGTTAAAAGCCACATTTGTAAATCAACCAAAGAGGTCTCTACATTCCCACTACAGTAAACAAGAAGCGTAACGAAATAAGCGCGGGTCTTCCCGCAATCCTTTTATTTGGACCCTCTTGATAAAAATGTATAGCAAATACAAGTAGTGTTAGTACCTTAAATAAAAAAATCCGCCCTCCTTTACCTGGGCCTGCCCGCATTGCGGCCCGAACGTTACGCCATTGCCGTAAACGAAACATTTTTGTCCAAGATTGACTCGCACGTTTGTTTGTTTTGTTTTTATTTTCGTCAAAAAAGTAAAAAAAAACCTGTATGTAGCATGCTACGGGGAGAAGTTAATTTGAAGTTACATTTATGTCCAGAAGCAAAACAATGGGACATCTCAGCATTTGCACAAGAATCAGGGAAACTGGACGTAAATCTGATCGAGATGGGGTCATTGACCCAGTAGCTGAAGTACAATACTTGTTATAGGTTCTTTAGAATTATACTATCCAAATGGTAAATAATACACTAAATGTTGTTAAAATTAATATTACTTTTCTTTTGCATACTCGGTAGAGTCTCTAATTATATAGAAACATTTGTGCAGCAGAAAAGATTTTACTTGGGACTTTAACTTTTGTATCGAATTTAATCGTTTAATGTCTTCTGGCAAGGTGTAAAATAATGTACATATAATGTAGGTGAATTTTTGTAGTGAGGTGTTGAGACTGTCACCTGATGTATATGTCGTCGTCGTCGTCGCTTCCGTCGAGTGTTATAGTTACAGACATCAGCGTTTACTCAAAATATATTCCTCCCTCAGTCATTTTTGACAAAAAACACTGATTTGTTTATCGAGATACAAGGTAATGGTAAAATACCTAGAATAATAAAGAGAGGCTTACAAGAATCATACGGGGGAATGAGGCAAAGATGCGGGGGAGTATGTGAGAATCTTATGGTCAACAAGTGGGGAACTTGCAGGGAACATGTGACGAATGTGGAGGGGACAAGAGAGGCCCGAGTTCTGTTTCTATTATTCAACAAATGGGCAATATATGGACTTTTCTGTAACTTTTTGGGAGGCTCTTAACACAAGGGTGTTGCGTGTTCGGTTCTGGTCCTAGGCGTGTACAGCCTAAAGCACGTCTGTATTTCTGGGCCTCTCTGGGGCCCCTTCTTTATCAAACCTTATTTACATAAGATTATTTATTATTTATTAATGCTATTTATTATATTAATAAAAATGATAATTTGAATGATTCAATTAATAATTGCAATTGATTTTATGTTGAACCATTCACAGAGTTGCTTTATGGTTTGTCGAGCTTCTTTCACAAATGTCGTGTATCAGTGCCCCAATTTTTAAGCTTAAAAAAAAACAACAGGAATTGACCCTATTTACGGAAATACAATGTTTTATTATGTAGGCGTACGGGGCCAATTTCGAAATTTTGAGAAGGACCACCCTATACACACGCCTATGTTTCTGGCCCACGGACCGAATTTCAACCGTGATAAAAGTCCAGGTTGCTACCTCAGACAGTTTTTCTCGAATCAGTTTCGAACCGGGAAGAAGACCCTGAATCGGACACTCATTTCTGTCCGGGTGTTTTGGTTCCGTAGAAAAAATCTGCATATTGCATATTTTAGTTTCAGTCCACCGGGAAAAGGGTCAATATTGCTGAATGTAACATATATTTTCATTTTAGGTAAGTTCATAAATGAGAAGTTAAAACGTTTAAATGCCATAGCGTCATTAAGACCATTTACGGATGTATCAGAATAAATGTTACAAACGTCTAGGGTATGTAGGGGCGAAGGTGATCGGTTTTGGTGAATGGAAATGTACGGGGGAGGGTGGGGAGGGAGGGGGGGAGGGAGGAACTCATATAACAAAGTTACACATTAGGCATTTTCAATCTGTTGGTAGCAGTGGAGACTGGTGCCCGAACAAACTGCAGGTTGCAGCTCCATAGAATGATAGAAATGCAATTTCCAAAAATACAGAACACTACTAAATAGAAAAATTTGCCTGCCTATGTCGTAATAGACCGGGACAAAAAAATCCAGTTTAAGGGGAGCCGTTTTATGTAATGTTGTCCTTTTTATGTCGCTTGTGATATTGATATTTCTGCCCTAAAGTAGTAAATTATATAAATTTATTATAATTATTAAAATACATTAACATATAATGTATTTATGGAAGAAATTCCCAATAAATGAAGATTAAACACTCATTGACATTGTTGAAAAATGCACACCTTACTGCTTACTAGTGTATTCGGATTGCTTGCAGACTCAACGTACAAGCGTCACAGCCCAGAGGTATGACTTTCTGATACCCTCACGTGGCCTTGAGTAGTGTGGAGTTAAGGAGTTATGATTTTCCAACACCATATGAAAATCTGTGAAACGACAACGCTACTCGCAGACTGGTTTGGCGAGATCGTGAAGAAGAACACCGTGAGAGACAGGGCCTGTCTACCAAAACGGCAAACTTTACACAAAGAACTCATCAAATGTACGTTTTGAACAAACAAACCTAATGTCAAATGAAAACAAACTCTTCAAATACCCTACACAATGCATTCAGCACCATCAAAAATTTACTGAACTTGTTTATTTCCAATAATTCGCGAAATTCATAAATTAAGTTGCAGGTACAGTCACACGAAGACAGAATATTGCTATTCCCCTCGGACTGCCTCGGTTGCCGTGCAGCGCTTCACAACGCTCGGAGACAAGTCCCCCTACCCCTATAGTTGTGTCACCAAAGGTTGTATGTTGCACATTTCTTCATTTTTAGAATATTTGGATCATGTTCATATTTCAAAAAACTTATTTTGCATTTCATTCTCATAGAAATTGTAGCTACAAAATAGTTTTTATGGATGGCGGATTCACTGCAAGCTGAAAATGATAAATAATAAGGTCAATACAAACAATGTCCTTAATTTTAAAACATTAGTTTATTTTTAATTTACTGTTTAATTTTACTTTTTTACATTATTTAAGTTTCTCAGAAATAAAACTTTCAAAATAGTTTATTCTGGAATTACTTCATAAACATGATTTACGCTTAGATAAGAACACGATTCTTCATCCAAATCTGTTACTTGTTCTTTTTGACCATAAATGAGGGATGGGACAACCACTCTTGCCAAAAATACATCAGATTTAACGTTTCGTTTCGATTGTTTTTTCAACAGGCACACAATAATTGAAGTCAGTACTAGAATCAGAAACGAAAATACAGAGCACAGCAAAATTATAGTAAGATTCGCTGCATGTGTCTTTTGTGTATTTTTTGTCTCGAGATTAGTGGTTGAAATCGGCTGCGTTCTTACATCGAAGTCGTATTTTAGATTCACAATAACAGCCGTTGAGCTTTCGTTTGAAAGTAACGTAGGCTGTTCAGTTGGTTCAATAATTGGAAACTTATTGTGACAATGTTCACATTTTGAAATCCATTGACTCGCTGAACGGATTGCAAATCTGTCGTCGCAAGACGCTGCATTACAACAACACACTGTTTGCGAAAAAACTAACGAGCCATTCGACCGAAATTTCACAAGTATTGGAAGTACTTCCTTAATCGGATTTCGTTCGGCATAAAAGCACCTGAAATTTAGTTTGCTTGCAAAGTCTATTCTCGTTATTGCATTTTCTGAAACGTCCAATACTTCTAAACGGCTAAGTGAAGCAAAAACGTCGTAAGAGAGGGTATGGATCTTATTTGCGCGTAACATCAATATGCTAACATTTGGAATAGCACTGAAGGTTAAATTAAACACTACACTAATGTTGCAAAACGACAAATCCAGAATTCGCAAAGACGTTGAGTTGATGATAGGCCGCTCCCGTCGCAGCACAAGGCCGTTTCTCTGCAAGCAGAGCTCCAGCAGCTCGTGGTTTCCAGAAAACACGAGCGGGTCCAGCTCTGATATGGTGTTCGCCGCCAAGGATATTCTGCGTAGGCAAGGGGCTTGCGCGAATGCAGCGTGGGAAATGTTGCTGATGGAGCAGTTTTCGGCCCACAGCCTGCAGATGAAACCCGGCACTTCGTCGAGCAGAGGCGAGCAGGGCCTACGCAAAAATCAAAATTCAACTTATGTCACAGTTGGGTTTTCATCAATGAACTGTAATTGACTTCTGTTTTTACCGGTTAAATGGAAATAAGGAGCGACTAATTTTGGAACCAGCAGAAAACGAAACCAGTAGCAAATGAAATTACAAAATACCCTTATGCATTTTATATTTTGTAACTTAATTTGCTACTGGTCTCTATATCAATTCCATGTTTTGTATTTCATATTTTGTAATTCCATTTGCTATTGGTCTGTAATTATTATACTTATAAATTAATATATTATATTAATCCCCCTCTTTGTCTTTCGATTTATATTTGTAGCCTGATGATGAGAATCAAGCCGTCGAGAGTCGGCTCTAAATATATTAAGTCGTCGGAGATGAGTTCCATTGTTTCTTCATGTGATTACGTCAACAATACCACATCAGAATTCCCTCAAATTCCCTGAACCTGTCAATCACGAATGCAGGATGATTTGTCTATTAACCAGGCGAAAAAGTTACTTGTGTAACTTAGATTTATGGAATTTCCCACCTACCTTCATTGATAAAGAGCTCTTAGATACCCTAGAATGCCTTAGAAGTTTGTAATATTTATTTTGAGACACTGCATATTAATGAATTTATTTTAAAAGAAAACGTTTTCATTTTTTAAGCATTTGCATTACCGTTGAATTGACAATTTGGACACTTTATGCACACAAGTGAAGTGTAATAGCTATTCAAACCGATATGAAGGCGAATTATTTACATTTTCAGTGAAGGAATCCATGGTTATGTCGCTAAAATCCAATTCGGTTATCAGTAAATGGTGGGACGCCTGTAGGATAGGTGACCCTCAAGACTGCGCTGTACACATTCTGTGCAACAGATTCAAGATCTAACACGTGCCTATAGCGCGCACAGAAATTTCCATTAATGCCTCGCGCTGATGCCTCGGCCCCCTTCCATCTGAATATTTTAGTTTTTGAGTGTATTTTACATAAAGACCCAACGACATTTGGGTTTTTTCTTCTTCAGACTAGTGGTGCTCTAACATCTCAGAATTTCTCGCATTATTTCTAATTTTTGAAATTGTGTGTTTATGTCATCTTATAGAGTAAATTTAGTACTATCCCTAACAAAAGTTTAAAGAAAAAATGTGAAGCAGTTTTTAAAAAAATCTTGTATTTGTTACTTTTTGAAATTGCAAGTATTGCACGTAATATTGCGCGAAAACCACAAAAATGTTCAAAGAATTATACTTTATCTTAATAAAATAAATAATTATGTACAACAAATTTCATTTGAAAGAAAAATCTCTATCGTTAATTTTGTAGTTGTACCAAATTCACAGTGAAAATCGGACCTATTTCACTTTTACAAGAGTATGTTACTCCATTCTTACAAGAAATTTAAAGAAAAATTTTGGAGCCATTTTTGAGAAAATCTTCCAGGGGCTTCACGTAAAGTACCCCCAAAAACTAATGAATGATTTTTAAAATCGCAGAGCTTCGACTCAGACCAAATGGACAGGTGTTTCTTCAATTTGGAAAAAAAATCCTACGCATGGTTTAGGCGCTAGGGATGTTCATATACACCAGACAGACGAACAGACAAACGAACGAACGCTTTGAAAAAAAAACAACAACAACAACACTTTTTCGGTATCAGGGGCCGCCAAAACGTGTATATCCGTTGAAATCTCGAAATCGATTTTCCGCAGCATAACACAACTTTCCCTATACTTCGTATATTACTCCGTATATACGTACATATAGAAAGTAAAAGGATTAACTTCAAGCAAAAATTAAGTGAAAACGATTCGTTTCTTCAAAACATATCCATGACTTTTTTAAATCTGATTTTATTTAAGACAAAAATCTTTCTCTTCACTATTGAACTTTTGCAGTAAATGTTTTAAATGTACAGACATGAATATACAGTCTCCGAAAAAGAGACCAGCACTACTTCTTTACCGTCTGAGGAAAAAACTTAAGAGAAAAAAATTGGAGACGTTTTCATAAAATAATAATTGTTTCAACTTTGCTCACATTTCAAACAAAATTATATATACTTTCTAAATACTTATACTTTCAAAACAATTGTGAATGACCTTATTTCAAGATGTCTTTGAACAACATCTTTTTTAAGGAACAATATCTATCTACAATATTGTACTAGTTTGAGGAAGACTTCGAAAAAATTCAACTTTTCAATTTTCGAGAATTAAGAGATATCAACGAAATTGATTTCTGTGCCATTTCAAGCGTTCTTCACCCTGTCCAAGAACAAAGTTTGATAAAAAATGTGGAGCCATTTTTGTAAATATTAAAAGCAATGAGAAGACGTCCTGCAAACTACTCCCAAAAATTAAAATATTTCAAACTCGCTAGGTCTTGGGTTTCTTCAGATCGATCGGGGGTATCGATTTTGGAGAAAATCGTTTAAAAACGGATCAAGAACCCACAAAATGTGGATTCTGCATGACTACACACCGCGTCAGAGACGTAATTTACTACATATAGGAGCAGGATTTACGCAATTTTGTGTCTAGGGCCCTGCATTTCCGATTTACTGTCCACCATTAGACAATTTTCTCTGCTTACAAAGTAAGGCTTCGCATTGAGCAAACACGCTTATGAAAGTGGCGCAAGTCCCATTTACATGGTCACCTTTTTTGTGAAAACGTGTTCTTCTCCAAAAAATAGTCTGTCGTTTCTCCATCCGTCTGTAGACAACACTTCGGCGAAAACTGTACCAAGAATTTTTTCTAAAATTGAGAAACCTAGAACACCTAACCACATTCAAACCAATCTTTGAATCTTCCACATTTACTTAAAAAAACGTATTTTAATAGCAACTTTTTGTAAAAATACACATGAAAGTTGACAACTTGTTATTAGAATTGAACATAAATATATTTTTATTTAAATATTTGATTATTGTAATTGACTATTTTATAATTAACAATTGTTATACAAATACTAGCATATTTTGACATTTTTTGGATGATTATCGATTTTTCTCGGGATGTGAGGTTGAGGAGGCATTAAGATGGGGTAGGTCCTATTATGCAACTGCTAATCTTGCTTGTAGGAAAATGCTGCTTTGTCTATTGGATCACCTATCAGGAATACCATTTGCATCCCACACGCCTTCCCGAGGGGCAAAGTCACCTGCTCCAGACGAGCTCCGTGCGCGAGGCGTCATCCACTGGCCTCTGTCCACGCGCCCGCAGGCAGGCGCGGCAGGGCTCCCAGTCGCTGCCCTGGTGGTCGGACGGCCAGCGGCTGCACTCACTGGCGGCGCCAGCGGCGACGGTCGCTGCCAACAGCGCCCCAAGCGACAGTGCCCGCAGGCAGGCCGCGAGGCGGCTGCGCGCCTGCGCCGAGGGCGCCGCCATGCCGCCGCGCCCGCCGCCCCGCACCCTCTCACGGGCACGCCCACTCGTCGCGCCTACTGCGTCCACCTGCAGACGACATCCACAACGTGCTTCAGAACTAGAGCACGGAGGTTCTGGCATTTATTTTACCTAAAATAGGCGGGCAAAAAAGGCATTTACTCTGGCTGAAATTGGGGTAAAACAGGAAACATGAAAAATCACCATTTAAAAGTAATTAGTGTAAAAAATTGATAATTAAATGATTCACATTTTATTCACTTCTCTAAAATTTGCATTAGCACTCTTATGGAAGGAAACTACCTCCTCTTTGTAATCTCGATTGCACATGACCATCCGGTATGACGATTACGAATTATTTTACTCGCGACGTTGCTTCTACGAAATGCAATTGTGGGCTCCGTTTTGAATCTTGAAATGATATCAGTGAAACGAAATTATAGATTTCGTTCTTCGCACTTGTGTAATCGCCAGAAGGGAAGACAGAACAAGGAACAGAGAAGAGTATATCACGGACAGACAGATCTGTCCTCAAAGGGGATTCGACGCCATAAACAGGATGAGATTTCTCGTGAGCGAACGCATAAGTGAAAAATATCAAAACTCTTCACTGATATCATCTTGCTTTCTCGTTTTCATTTTTAACACAACCTGAGCCTCCGCGTTCACAGAAAAACAACGCACGACTGTCCCTTCATGTTATCCAGGTTTGTTTCCAGCTTGATAGAGATTCGTGCCAGGAGGGAGGCCGGGTGTGAGGGTAAATAGCGACAAATATGACAGAAAAAGGCACAAATAAGTCTTAGAAAACAATATTTGAGAGGGTTACATTTATATAAAGCAATGGGTTTATATTTCAGTAAATACATTGAAAGCCTCAAAGGATCTTGATCTTTTGATGAAAGTCGAATGGAATCAGGTTTGAATACAAATAACTATTTCCGATGGTTATATCTAGGGAAGACAATTTCATTTTAACTATTAAATGATTTAAGTCCCCTTTATTTTGAAACTTATTTTATTTGAAAATCCACAATTATTTTGAAATATAGTTTTGCAAAATTTAGTATTTATTTTCTTCATAGTCGTGAGGTTGATAGTCAAGGGCCTAAAAAGAATTTGGATGAAATAAAAACTCGCATCTGTGGCATGAAGTTCGATGAAACTGAAATAAAAAACAAGAATATTGATATCAATATTGATTTCAACCACCAACTCTTTACTTTCACGCTTAACTTGGTACTTACGCAGTAAATAGAAAGTATTTTAATATTGTGGCGGAAACCTGCAGAAAAGTTACACATTTGTGTAATTTGTAGATAAATAAATAATACATCAAAGTGGCATTGACGTCATGTTTCTCCATGCATTTACTACTGTCCGCAGGAAAAATTAAAAAACAAAAGGGACCGTTCTCGAGTATAAAATGCCCATAATGAAAATATTAAAGACACGGGAGATAAAAAAAAATGCATTGGCCATTTTTGTTATTAAAAATGCCGTTTGCGCTTTTCTGAAAAAATTTAAGCTCATTACACGAAAACTTGAGATTTCCAGAAATTTCACAAGAGATCATATGAAGAATTTGTATCTTCAAATGGATTATACATTGCGTAGAATGCCGGTAATGTAAATAATAACGACGTGCAAAATATTAAAATCATCTAGAGTAATTTTTTGAAAATCTGAAAGTATTAATAATGAAGGCGTTGATGACACATGATATAAATGTAAAGAACATGAACTTGAATATAGTACAAAGAGTATAGTACTCTTTGAATATATCGCTTTTTCAGTCATTTCGATGTCACAGCCAATGACAACAAAAGTAGCATAACAAATAACTCAAGAATACGGTAAACAATATACATTTTTATTAAATAACGGCAGAAAACAACTTTCCCCTCTCGTGATTAACTGAAAAAATATTCGTATTCAATACTGGATTTGGTCAATCTTCTGCGATATTAATTCTGATAACTACGAATTTAGACATTTTCTGCATTTTACTTTTCAATAAAGACACATGTAACATACTCACACAGACATTATAATGAAAATCGATGCGGTGTAGTTTCCTCTGGCAGCCCATCGCACTGTGCGTCACCGAACACGTATTCCGACCCGACTGCCGGAGCTCAGTGTTTGCTTATTTTTACTTTACTTGCGGCTCTTCGAGGAATTCTCTTACCATCTGCTTCTTGCCTTTTGGTTGATACAGTGTTGCCGCAGGAAAAGGGGAAGATCCGGTGAATAATTTAATTATAATTAACTAGTTAGAATTTTGCTAACATGCCTCACTTTTTAACTCATTCTTTCAAAAGTGAAAAAAAAAAAAACAAAACAACCACAACAAACAAACTCGATTCTAATATTTAATTTCGAACGTTCCTGACAAACTCTGCTAGGTAGTGAGGGAGCCTTCTAAAAAGCTTACAGAACGACCAGAAAATTATCTTTACGTAGATTATGGTATACGAGACATGGCTTGTATTCCTTAAGGGATAATGTTGTCTAGGATAATAGGTAAAAGACGAAATAGTCATAAAACAATATTTTTCTGAAGGAACAAACAAGTGTATATTTTGATCATTGACAATACTGACAATCATTGACAATATCATTTTGACAATACTGATTCCAATAATCTATACTAACGTTCATTAGCTTCCATTAAGCATAATAATAATCTGATTCGTATAAGCAAAATGTTAAATCAACAAATTAAAGAAACTCATTTGACATTACAATATACGATAGCCACTAAATTATTTCTTAAAAGTGTCTTGCCGTTTAAGAGATAATTGTTTAACAAAATCAAGCTGCAAAGCAGCTTGGCAGAACACTCTACCAGGAGTGATTAAATGCAATGCGTTCAAGACCGCAATGCTTTAAGGCAGGCCTTAATGCGTATGTATAAAGGGATTATATTGATGAGAAAATAGCAATAGCAAAGAGGGGTTGCATCAATTGAAATTACTGTTTATATTTCTTCATAAGAAATTAAGTCTGTCATTGAAATAGGCATCTCACTATTTGGATATGCAGAATATTTCGACTGCTGAGAGAGATAACATTGGTTGTTGCTAGCAATATGCAGTAAGTTATGTCTTGGTCAGAACAAGTCAACATGATGTTATCTACTTGTGTAGGAGTAGAATATTTGCTCCAATTCATATTTTGCTAGCTATCGCAAAAGATGAAAGATATGTACAATCATAAATGTATTTTTGTGTGCATGAACATGTGCGAAATAAGACGTGGATTGTGCACTGTTTTCTAGCGAATTCTATTCGTATTGTAGGAATGTGATATCAAAAATGTGGACAAACCCTGTTCCTACATGTAATAAATTACTTCCACTAACATGTGGTATAGTGATAATATGCGTTTTATGCGTCCTTGATGCCGAAAACTTGATTGATAGCAAAAGTCTGTCAGCCCGTCCCCCGTCTTACCATCAGTCAGTCCGTCTGTTAGAACTTCTGTCCATCAGTCCGACCGTATGTCCGTCCGTCTGTGGTCAACACTAGCCCCTAAACCATTATATTTTCTCCAAAATTGATACTCCCGATCAATCTAAACGAACTCAAGGACCTGCGAGTTTGGAAGTATATTTTAATTTACATTAAGCCACAAACAAATTTTTAAAATTTTCTTAAAAAAGGGCTCCAACTTTTTAAGAACAAACGTATCTGCGAATAACGGAAACGATGCTAAAAATATAGCATGTTTCATTTTCTTTGATTTATCTAAATTTTCGAAAATTTTAATTTTTTTCGGCGTCTTCCTACACTTACAATATGGGAGATAGAATTTTTTACTTTCTCACCCTTACTTCGTTCGAAGAGAAAGTATTGTCATCGTGCGACGAAAACTAATTTTCGACATAAAACCTCTTACTCGTATTGCCGGGCCCAGGTAACGAAAAAGTGGTTAAATCTAGTTAATATATTTAGTAAATTCTGAGTTCTTCCTTTATCACGGTGAGTAGTCAGAATTCATGATTTGCTTCCATCGTTTGTAGTGTTACTTTTTTGCACTCATAAGAAAAACATTATAAACTAATTACATAATATACTATATAATTTTTCATTATTACTTTTTTTATTTTACTGGGTCGTAAGGGGCCCACCAACGGGCCAGGCCGGGCAGAGCTCGGCGGCGGTGACTTCGTGAGAGACTTCCGTCAAGCGGGCACTCCCACTTCATACAAATTAAAAATCAACTAGCCTATAATTTTGTACCATAATAAAAAATGTACTCAATTAGAAAAAATTTTAAAAACGACGTCCAAAAGTCTGGGTGACAGCTTGACGTCAAAGTGGGCACCCCCACTTCTCATAAATTCAAAATCTAGCCAATGACTTTCTATTAATTATGTACAAATTTTGTACCCAAATACAAAAATATTCTCAACTATAAACAATTAAAAAACGGGTGCCAATAAAGCACTTATCGCGTAAATTTATGATTTCTAAAACCCATTTTGAATGAAATATCGAAGTTCAAATTTATACAGCAGTTTGGTACCATAGTGATTATGTGTAATCATTTCAAAATTGTATCTGTTCCCTCAACAGAATAAACAAAACCGAGTGGCTTAATAGTAACCGCCATGGCACAACCACTTCTTAGAATTTCAAAACAAACTAGATATAATCTTCTACTAATTATGTACTAAATTTGTACCAAAATAAAAAACTGTACTCAACAATAAACAATTAAAAACGAGTGTTAATGAAGCACTTTCGGATAAATTTATTCTTTTTTAAAACTCTTTTGAGTATGTAGTAGAATGATGATCATCACAGTGAAGAAGAAAATTTCATTTCAGTCTTTACATAGAAACTTTTTTGTACGTATATTTGTAGCCAATTTCACCTGTCTTATCCTCATTTTTAAAATGGTGTCACTTCCTCATCTTTCAGTACCGATAACATCGGTGATAAAATTATCAAAGTTTGCACTTTCTAAAATAAACGAAACTGTTGAGACCCATA